CTCTACTGTATTTATCTACTTCACTTCTACGGTACTACCAATCGATAATCGATGCATTCGGAAAATGAATTTCAGTTGAGATTACTTTAGATAGTATTGAAACTTTAAATATAGTAGTAGAATACCTACGAAGTATTTATTATATTATATAGGCTATATGGGGCGTTTAAAATTTCAAGTCGTACGCTGTTGTCTATAAACTTCCGTTCCATAATAATGTATTATAACTATTAAACATACAGTATAGACGAAAGTACTTCTTCTCCAAGGTACTTTTCTATGCTGTGGCACACTAGTTTTTAATAAAGGTATACAATTGATCCGACCAGTTTATCTATTCCTCTTATACACACAAATGCGGCCTAGAAAACCATATTGTTAGAGCTTATACGAGTAACCTGGTCTTCGGGCTACCAATTCCATGAAGAACGTGTAAAAACTAACACATCATTGTTAGCTATATTATGTTAACCTAAAATCCCGAGTAGAATTATAACAATAGATTCTCTAGTATAATTTCAAGTAATTTCTAAAATTAATTTTTTAGTTAATAGTGGAGCCATATGTATAGAACAAGAACAATACGACTTTACAAAATTCACTTTTATACAAACATACGTCGTTTGATATACGGTTATATCTTTTATGTCTATGTGTACTTCACATTTCATAAAAAAAAATGTGTAATATTGTGTATGCCTACAGGTAAGGTATAAATAAACTACAATCAACTATATTTACCAGTTAAATTTCCTGCCTTTGACACCCGCATTCGTTAATTTTTACCGAATTTTAAATTATATTATATTAAAATATATTGAATATTGCATTAATATAAATAAGTCTAAACATTTAGGTATAAGCAATTATAGTTTTATTCACAGACTTTACAACTAAGTGGTTATTTTATATTTAATAAGTATAGTATGTCTTGTATAAGAAGTTAAATTAACGAAAAATGATTACAAAATAAACGATTAAAATAAATAACGATGGATTGAAATTATATTAGACAACCTTTTAAAAACAAATTTAATAAGTAACATTTGGTCATTTAATAAATATTAATAATAAGGAACTACGTATTGTTTTCCATATTTAAAATACATTTTAAAATGTATCCAAAAATTCGTTTTTTTTAAAGAAAATTAAGTGTCGCAACTTAAAAGATTTATTAAGTATAATAAATATCATTATTTTCCTTTAAACATTATTTTATTGTTGGGAATTAAATAAAAAACGGTCACTGTTTGGAGAAATGACATAGTTAAGACCCACGCTCAATAGTCAATGATCATTGAAAATCCGCCAACCCGAAAATGTAACGGCTAACTCCCACACTTACTACTCTAAGTTTAAATGAAACTCACAATGCAATGTTCAGTTTTTTCTGTCTATTTTATTTCAGATAAGGATATGAATGGTGGGCGATGTGTTTTAGAAGAAAATTTGCATGAAAACATAAATAAAAAGTTATTCTAACACAATAATTTAGCGTTGGTAAGAAATAAAAAGAAGCTTGTCACAGACACCTGATGAGATGAGTCATGACAGAACAAAAGAAAAATAGATAATAAGATAAAATTTTCTTTTTAATCAAACCCCCTTGAACTGAAATCCTAATAAAAATGATTGTAGTAATAAATAAATAGTAACTATTACGAAATTGAATACAGAAAAGTGTTCACTAAATAATTTGTACGGACATAGTTAGAAAATATTGTAAATGGTTATTTAAACATTTTGAATTTATATTACGTAACTTAATTTCATAGTTTCTATACAACTACACCTCACGTTCGAGCGGACAACTATTATATTAACATAATATTATTAACTATTAAGTATATTTCTATAAAGTTGATTTGAAGAAAATAATCAAACTAAGATCTGAGAAGTAATATATTTGAATAAAATATTATATCATTTACTTAGTTATATTGTATATTATATACTATATAGGTATATCGAGAATAAGAAATTAACAAAATCTTTCTCAAGTTTAAATGTATGCGTTCTATTTTCAATTATAATTATTATAGATTTGTTAAAAGTACCAATTAATGCAAATAAATAGTGTATCAAAAACTTTCGCTTCGTATCTAATGGTATTTTAAAGACCCCTGGTCTTTAACTGATGTCAATGTTGCATCTGCTTTTTTTGGAGAAAGCGAACCCAAATCATGCATAGTAATGAATGCATTTAAAACGTTTACTTATTTGTGTTCGTAACTCCGTGTAGATTTTACATATCACAACAGTATAACACACGCATCACATGGCGCACATATAATTCCAAAGTTTATCCCCGTATATCATGTTAGGTACTATCACCTGGCATTTTTTTTTTTACATAATTTATATATTACCTATAATAAACTTTATCTGTTAAAATATTAATAAATATTAGAAATGTTTATATTTTGATAATAGTTTTTTTTTTAAATAAGAAAATACTTGGTAGATTGTAATACTATAATAGTACGCTATTATTATAATGCCTATATAAATCATAAACCTATAAGTAGTAATTACCGACTACCATGTATAAAGATTTAGGTCATATAATATATTATATAAAGCATAGAACATATTATAGGATATAGTCCTAAATTTAAATTTAGTTGTAACCAATTGTAATATTGTATTATACTATTATACATGGGTATTTTATACTGTGTGTCTGTGTTATACTATTAAATCTTCGAAATAAATATTAATATATTTTTAGCATAATATTAAGAAGTAGTTTTAAATGCAGTTTGCATTGTTTTCTTCTGAACACCCACAAAAAACACGAACCAAAAAAAATATAGGAAATTGAATATGTTAGAAATATCAAATATGTAATGTATATTAGGTACCTACATAGACTTCATAGAATATAAAACATTAAAACTACTATGAATTTATACATACATAGTACAACCAAGTTAGATGTATGTTGTTCAACCACATTGTTTTATACCGTTCTAGCTATTTTACTATTTTGGATAAAAAAAACCTATCACGTTTACCGTACTTACGTTAGAACTAATTAATCACAAACACTTTTGTAATATTATATATTATATAATATGTATTTCTACAAATATACAATGCACATAAAATATTGTTATAAAGTTCCTAAATAGAGTAGTTCCTTACATAGTCGCTTGTTGCAGACTTAGGTATATTATTATAAAATTGATTGAACACAAAAAAAAGATTATAATAAAGGACTATGGTATTGTACAGACGTACACTGTTGAAAAAAAACTGCACATGTCGCGTAATCATTGCTTCACACTTATAGTGTTATTTAGCTGTACCTATACAAAACCGGGACAACCGTATTTGGTGATAAGGAGAATTATTGCATGAAGTAAATAAAGAGATCATCGCCATATTTTTAAACATAAGCAGGATGAAGGTTTTTTTATTGCAATATCATTACATTTTAGAATTATAAAATATCATAGGTACACCTAGTACATATATATATAACTAGTTATAAGTTATGTATACTGTTTATAATAATATACTTAAATTCATTCCAATATTGTACTATATGCGATTACTAGATCACTACAAAGGCCCATAATGTCTGTAAAAAGATCTCACATTAATTGTTTGGATATAATTTGGTACATTGTATAGGTTGTTACTTGTAAGTATACTTGTATTTGTGTAAAATAAGAAATTTCATTATAAATTTCAAAAATGTTCATTCTTATAATTTACTTTAAGACGTATTAAAGTCTTGAAGAATACTTTTTATGTAACTAACAGTTCATTTTAACGAAACATATTCTAAAACTAATATAAAACTATAAACTTATACAGCTATATCTATATCTATATCTATATCTATATCTACAAGATAGATATCTTGTTTATAAATTTGTTTATAGCGCAGAGAACGGATTGGTTAAGACTACCAACTAATACAACTATCGATGTTATACCAAACAAACTTGAATATATCAATAATTTTACTTTATGTTTTCGAGTATACACAATTATCTGGGAAAACAAAGATAATTTGAGTGATCCAATTAAGTATATTTAAAATAACTAATAAGCTACAAGTTTTTGCGAAAGTTGTCTATAACGTCATCGAGAGAAATGTCTGGAAAAGACTTACATGGTTACAACTGTGTTGAAAAGAATTATATAAAGTTATATAATATAATGCACACATGCAAAGTATAATTTAAAATTCAACACCGGAACGTTTTTTGAGGGATAATTGACCAATTAAGGGCATTTGTAAAATTCGTAACTCGATAAACAAATTTCCAAAATCATGAAATATTTATAATAAATTAATAAGTATATTAAAAAAATAAAAAAAATAAAAGACTACTCACAAAATTAAATTAAACATAAAATAAAATAGTTTATCATACTGATGTATTATTAAAACTATAAATTATTATTAATAGGATTTAATTATTGCATGTTTGTAATAATGCTATTTTTTAAACTTTACTAGTGCTTTGAAAATTTGTTAAATAGTTTTGAAAAATGATAAATTCATTTTTATATTTATGTATTTAAACTACGTTTTATAATAAGTTCCAATGATTGATTAAGTGGTTATTACATCAATTTATTTTGAAAATATAAATGTACACAAATTCAATAATAAGCCCTGCATAGTTAAAGAATGAAAAATGGGGAATGTACCTATTATTTAATTCATTGGAACGACAAAATATTTTGAATATTGAATTGGATTTTGGAAAATTTAAAAAGAGATAATAGGTAGACGTCGTTACACATTATGATGATAATTTTGAGCAGTTAAGAACAAAATCATATTTAAATGACGAAATATGAATTGTATTTCGTTATGAAACCTGAAAGAAAGCATAAGGGTGATTTTGGACAGCATAAATGTTAATAAACAACAATAATTGTTAATTACATATCTTAAAATCTGCGCACATCCAATAAAATATACTGAAAAGAAAAACCAAAAAACGAAACGGATAAGGAGGTAGGTAGGTACTCACCAATCTTTGAGTCTTGTCAGGAGCAATGACGGTTATCTCGTGCGCTTGCATGAGGGTACCATCGGCGGCGGCCGTGGAGACGCCATGAACGATTTTGTGCGGCGTGGACGGACTTTCGGAGCCGGCGAACTTAACGTTAAATATGTTGGGCACTTTGGTGATGAGCGACAGCCGGCGGGACAGTTTCCGGCCGATTTTCTTTGACTGTTTCCGAAAACGTTGCGCCTCGGCCTGTTGCGCAACGTTGTTCACGGGACACGAGTCCTCCATGGCTGCTGCACCGGAGGCGCTCGTTCCCGTCAGCGCGGGAAATTAACACGAAAACCGCACGAACGAACTAGGTTTCACATGCACAACGTAAATGCCCAATGGTGGGTGATAACGATTGCGAAAGGACTTCGGGAACGAAATACGCACGTGACCCCGTGAAAGCAGAAAACGACACAGACGACCGACGACAGACGCGAAAGACGAACTCGCGTGGACCCGCGGCGAACGACTGCCGACAGCCCGTAGTCTATGCACATGACTATCGCCACCGCCGCCGCCGCCGCCGCTGTAGCGCCGCCCCGTTTGACGCTTCGTCTGGACCGGTCCGTCGCACTCGGCGAGCGCTAGAATTTTGATTATTTTTTTGTTTTTAAGTCCTAGTTCAGTTTTATTATTGAATAATGTTTTTTTTTTCTTATTAGTATTCCGAATCAAACAAATGCACGTTAGCTCTGTACTGGCGTAGGTAATGCAATACAGGTTTTCGAAAAGTATCGGTTTATTCTTTCTGTTTCTAAGTAAATTATTATTATATTGGTTGGAAATGCTTCACCTATCGGGTCTGCCGTTGATATTTCGATTCGGTGACATACCAGAGAAAGGTAATACAATTGTAATTGTATTATTATAATTTAGGTATGATACCTAACAAGTATTTTTTTTCCTAAATTATTTAAAATGTTTCAAAATGTTAAAAACTCTTATACGTTGTCAATTTTTATCTAAAAATGAATACATTAATACAGATTTTATCTGTTTACAAATTAAATATTTGCACAGCAATACTTCTGATTACTCACTAATTATGGGATATACGTTTCCCGCCTTGTCAATCAATATATTCAGTTGAACAAAAAAAAAATTTGTATGGTCAAAAATGAACTTTAGTGTTTTCGTTTATTTTTTGGTTTGCTTAAGTTATCAATTAAAATAACTATTATTAGAATATATTATTAATAATGTATATACTTACAATAGATATACTCGTATATTAAAAATATATTGGCCATTGCGTATTAATTTTTAGATCATAAGTATGGTAATGTAATAAAATGCCTGCGGAAAACCCGACAGAGGAAAAATGCTCAAAACGGAGCCCTCGCCATTTCAGTATTTTCTAGTGTAATTTTATGTCCGACCCAATAAGTATAAAACTTTTAAATTTAAACCAAAAAAAGCGACTCTTCTAGGTTGCTAAATCCCCCAACTAAAATCAAGTACTGTTTTACAATTTATTTCATACAAACTATAACCGCTTTTATTAACACACATATTACTTATTCAAATATAAATAAACTTTACTTGTATAAACTTACAATTTCTTAACTTTATGCTGAAGAAAAAAAAATTGAAATGTGTATAACATTAATAACAGTTTCCAAGCAAAATATTTATTAAACTCTAATATTATTAATTGATAACTAACACTTTAAATTTCAGAACGTTACCATGATAGTATACGGTTAATTGTACGGACAAGTGGGTTATGACTTAGGACTTAAGAGGGTCTGGTAGTTGGTACAAGTGTACAGCTCTAGTTATTGGCCTATAGATATTACCACGATGTAGATTTTACCTACATCGTGGATATTACTAATTTCGTACAGTGCCATACAGTGGCTGTCGACCGTGATTTTGAAGGGCCCGATAATTTTGGGTGGGTGGGTGGTGAGTACTGGATTTAGTGAGAACTATTGTTGTACAAAACTAACTATATTTGAATATGATATAAGAATAAGAATAAAAATTAATAACATCATTAATAACTATACTAAGATACTCACTCAGTAGTACAGTACCGCAATATTGTGAATAACAACGCCAAACATGGCTATTTAAAGCATTATCATTTAATTGATATTTACGTGGTAACTACAAGTTACAATTGCACTATATAAACTACTGAAGTAGCTTTTAAATAAATAAAATCGTTATCGATCAACGGGTCTTCCCAATTTCCCGCGACCGATTTTTTATAGGGAGAGAGGGGTCACACACTGTTTAAAATTTAAAAATAGCAAAAAATAAAAAAAATTATAAAATACTACAAAAAATAGCAAATACGGCCAATGAGGGGAGAGCTCCCCTGGATAAGCCATTGGGTGGGTGGTAGGTCAATCAAAAAATTAATAGCCCCATAAAATATTTCACTTCGACACGCCACTAGTGCCATAGAACATTACATCTCCATGATCATTCTCATTTCTCACCATATGTACACCCACTACCCAGCAACCGCGGCTAGCCGGCTCAAAGTTACTTTAAAATCTAGGGTTGGACAAAATATGCATACTCTCACCACAATCCCAAATAACCCCCTTGCCAGGTTAGGTGAAAAAAACTGAAAACCATGAATATTAAAATAAAATAAAAATTGTATGCATTATTATCAAACACTGATAAATAATAACTACCCTAATAATTGGCCTAAGTGGCCTTTTTACATGTGTACAAATTTAAAATACTAACTAACCGCAGAAATTACAGTTCACAAAACTATTGCAAAACCTATACAACCGCCGCTATACCTACTTATTTTTCAATGAAGCGTCAACTATAAATTATGCTAAAGGTCGTTTTTAAAAATTACATTTGTGTAGTGTTGTAAAGATTTTAGTTTCAGTTTCATAGATGTAGTAATAAATATAACAACCATACAAGATACAACATTGCTGTACGAGTATATGTGTAATATAATATTTAAATACGAAATGCAAATACTTGTACAGATACTATTGTCTATTAGAGTCTAAGAGAGGCAGATTTACATTTTGTTCATATCATAAGATTAATTTATAGTTAAATATATTTATATATTGAAAGTACGGTTAAGTAATTACTACATACGAGAAGGTCAATACAGGGGAAAATATAATTTATAAACTAATAAAATAAATGTTGAATTTTGGTAGTTTTTCTTAGAATAATATTAACTACACAAGTCCATAAAGAAAAAATAGCATATTGGAGGCTTTATTTTTACATAAAGCATTAAATAATACATCTAAAAAAACCTCGAGTCATATATTTTATATGTCAGTAGGTACCTACGTAATGGAACGTAGGTACTTACTACTTAAACATTTTAATATGTGTAATGTGTATAACAATTTGATTAATTTTAAAATATTATTAAATTAACCAAACAATTGAAGTTTTGTTTTCAAGTTGCTTAACAATAATACCGGCACACATATTATATGAATTTTTGACAATATTTAACAATAGCGTGTACAATACCTCTTAATTGAAATAAATATATAAATTGTACTTTCTCGTTTGTTTTATTGTCGAATCTAATGCATGGAAAGTATAAATATATAATACTATATACACAGTTTAACACAATAAAACTTCCTTGACTCGTACACAAAATATATACAATGTCGTTACTCGTTAATACAGAATACATCATATAGTTTGTACTATTCATCTCGCTCTAATAAACTTGAAGATATGTCAGCATTTTACTTATATAGCAAAGATTATTAACTTTAGCTACTATACCATTTATTAGGATTTTAAATTCTAGGCAACTTGAAAAAAATCTATTCCTCTTTTATACATGAAACAATATAATTTAAAAATAATTTAACACATTCACTATAGAAGACCTACTCAATAACTTATAACTACACCCAAAAAACCTACAACATACAGGCATACAGCATATAGACTTCCAACGTTTATGTGTGCGAGTCTAACGACAATTTTTTGAGCAGAAACTTATTTAGCAGAAATTATATTTTAATACTTTTAGGTTAGGTCTTGTAATCTGTGGGAAAAATACGAAAATCCTTCTATTAAAATCTTAGGTTCTAGAATCGCACCTAAAAAATGCATTTTATCGACTCCACTACTACAAGATATAACATAATATTATGTATGCGAAATATTAATAAAATTAGAACGATCACCAACTGCAGTTTGCATTTCAAATTAAAAGGTAGATCATCTAGATATTCATCAATTGGTTATTACACAAATGGCCAACAGTTATAACAACGCGGTTCTCCGAGTTCGGCTATAGTGCCTTCAGCTGCAACCGAAACTATTATACAATTTCTATAATCGCTACATTTATACAATATCTTATTTACATATCATTGTGGATACCAATACCATTGTATATTGAATACAATCTACCAAAATACGGAATCTACGGATAAATTATTTTGATGTAATATGCCTATACAATTGTGGATAAATTACACTAGCAACGGAAAAAGTTTTAAGTGAAGAAAAATATGTCATGAATCAATTTTTTTAATTTTAAAGAGAGGTCAGGAAGTAAGAAACTACAAGCGACGCATTGACTCATAACTCATAAGTCATAAGGCATAAGTACATAATAATATATTAATATATTGTGACATGCCTACTAACATTAAACTAGTATTCGTATCCACTCTCGTATATTTTGACACGAGTACATGTATATTGATACAATGATTTCATCAATCCTATACACAGATGAGGACCTGCAACCGAAAAAAATAATACAATTGTAATTGAATACAACTCGAGGTAATTAAGTAGTTTTTACTTGTGTTTATGTTTTTTATAGTAGTATATAATATATTATAATAATATACCTACAACCTACAGATATATGGACCTACAGTCCATATTTTATATACAAGTTTGATGTTTGAAGTTATAAATCTTAATTTCTTTCGATTTGTGATATGACACTAGGCATGTTCAGTTGCATTCCAACGCGTTTCGGGCGCAAAACGTATTGCACAAAACAGCAGCAGTAGATATTAATATCCGTTCATATTACCTATATTCTTTTATAAATAAAAGTTTGAATAAATTGTATTAATCTATCCATGATATGAAAAAGAATTAAAAAATATTAAGTTTAATATTGTTCTTGAATTTGTTTTTTTTTACTATTCGAAAGGTATTAGATATTATTTTAATTTTCCATGTATCATGAGAATTGATAAATTTCAATATATTTTTATCGAGAATATAATACAATAATATGAGTAATAATAGTACTACTGTAAATTATTCATTTTTAAGATTCGTAAGAAATTATTCTAATAAATGTACGAAAATCATCCATGTTTGCCTGTTTATATAAAGATCAATTAGATTGATGATTTTAAAATTTTCAACTCCACTAAATTAGCTGATATACCTACCTTTTTGGAATTAAACTAAATTTGGTTAACTATTGATTAACTTTTTTACATTAACCTTTTTATATTATTTATCCAACCTATGAATATGGCCATATAGTTAGTTCATTATCATAAACATGTAATGTTGTTTTTATGATATAACCTATATAATTTGATTTTATATTATTATAAGTTATATTTAACATTTTAAATTAAATAATAATAATCATTAAAGTGTACACATAGCATATGCAGATGTACTGAAAAATCTGCGAAATGTATAGGTAAAAGGTGGCTTTTATAAATATTGCATATTTATTGCAAAAAATCAATCAAACATTGAAAATTCCCAAGTCAGATAAAAGAAGCTGAGGACTCAACTGCAGCCAGTAACATAATTATTCGTGAGCTTTTTTTCGATTCGTTTTGTGCCTTTGCGGCCGAGTTTTGTCTCATTAAAAATAATAACATTTTCTTGTCTTCACACAAATGTACAGATATTGAGATATGTACAATAAACATTAAGTCATTAAAATAAACATTGTATAGGTATATCTGCATAGTTGTATATAACTATGCATATCTATCTCGATGTCGTGAGTTTTCATGTGTTGACTTTAGATTATACTATCAATTGTATTTGTTTCGTCCCGAAACGTGATAAGTACGTTTACCTGATAATAGTTAGATATGAAATAAATTATAAAATAATATTTCACGAGGTAATGTACTGCTCTGTTACGTGCTGAAATGTAAGTACTATAATTTTTCGAAAATGATTGACAAAAATCCATCTGGGTGAATGTCGTACAGGAAATAAACAGATCCAAAACGGGAAATCGAGGAGAAGATTTATATTATTTTTGCCGTGGTCACACTGGTTATGCGTATCAGCTGACAACGTCTTGAATCTTTGCCGTACGGACACTTGATAGGGCATCCGTAGCGCCGCGCCGCGCATATTATTTGTTATTTTGTTCATAAAAAACGAATGCACTATGACTGTGCGCTGACATGCTGTAGCCTGTTCGGTGAATCGTCTCTCCGCTTTTAGTCGTCTGCTGACCGTTCAACGATCTCGATACCTTACGCCCGCTACGCATTGAAACGGTGTTGTTTGTTGTTCGAATTGTAGGCGTCCATTAAATTATTTTTCGTTCAAATCCGTGTGCGTAATAACAACACGAGTGCCCGGTGAATTTTAAATGCTATTGCATTTCTCTTTGATCTGCTTAAACTTCAGTGACTGATACGTTTAGTGTTTAGATTCCATGTTTACTTAAAGTGAAGTCAGTATGTCACAGTCTCAGTACTCTCGTGACACGGTCATCCATCTCGTATCTGGAGGGTAATAATAATTATAAATTATTATATTTTCAGACCGCCTGTCCAAGTCATCATTGTTCTTACGATGAGTGTTTTTCTTATTTCGATATTTATTCCAGGCTGGCTGGTACGACTGGTGCTGTGGTTACATGTCCATTGGAAGTGGTCAAGACTCGGTTGCAGTCATCTTCTAGTTTTGGTGCTGCACGCTATGATTATGTGCCTAGAATTGCATCTGAAGACAGTGGTGGAAGTCGCATGACATGTAAGACAATCTCGTCGCTGCAGCGGCGACGATATAACACCTTGAGCGGCGCTGGTGGCCGACACTCCAGCACACAAATACTAACATTTTCTCAATGTGGTGTAGGCAGCCAGACGACGAAATCAATGGGACTCATACAATGTCTCAGGTAAGAATGTTGAATATATTTGTTCGTCCAATACAAACATTTTATTAATTTTAAAATGACCTAATCATAGCCACTATTTTAGCTGATTACATCCAGTAAATAAGTATTAAATTCTTCATTTACAAATTTAAATTAGAAACTGGATAGGTAGGTAGGTAGGTAGTTACAATTTTTTTTTTTAATAAGATCAAACAATATGTGTTAACTATTTGGTAAACAATGTGTATGAAAAATTATATTGTGTCTCAATTTAATCTTATCACAAGCGATGATGATTATTATACATGTTTAAACATTTTTCAATAGGAAGTATTGATGTTTGTATACTATAAATATTCTTATTTAAGGTAGGTATTCAGTACATTTATTGAATTTAATAAATAAGAAATGCTTAGGTACAGTATTCTATAGGTATTTTATACTTAGTAGTCTAGATTATTTCTATTATTTTGCAAAAAAAAATGTTATCAACAAAACTGATTGCATGTACAATTTGAACAATTGGAGTACAATGAACTTAAATTGTTTTGTTTACAATCTTCAAAATGCAATAAATTTATTTTTAAATCCAATGCATTGAAGGCTAAAATAATTTTAAATTCAGGTCAATTATGAACTTCAGCTCTTAAGATTACAAATTCCTGTGTATATTTAATAGAAGTTGTAATTCTATATCACTTTTACCATCAACTATTGCCAGTATTGATAATATTTTTAATAATCAGGCTAATAGCTAAAAGTATAGTACTAAATAGAGGGCTTGTTTACTATAGTTGTATTGTGTTTACAAAATCAGAAACACTGACCAGAAGTGACAGTAATAATATCGATGCATTTCATACCTACGTGGCTATGCCTAACATATGTTATTGAAACTTGTTTTTCCTGAGTTGTAGTTTTTAATAGCATTGAACAAAGAATAATTTTGTCGATTTACAACTGTCATATTAAGTTCATTTATTATTCAATCTAAAAATAATATAAAATATATAACTGATAAGTAGGCATGTAGTTAAATTTACAATCTGAATACATTTTTTTAAGTTGTATAAAAGCTGATAAGCAATAACTAATGATTTCAATACTGTTATTATACATATAATATGCCATAATTACCACCTTAAAATTTAGTTTGAAAATAATAAGTCTAGGAACAAAATAATTTGATAGGTACATCAATTATACTCGGTCTGATGTTCAATTATGATTATTATCGTCCATAAGTCATAACATTAACGTTACCAAAAGATATGATAACCTCTTGTTTTTTAATTAAACAACCATATAATAATATTAGATATTTTAACAAGTATGTTATTGGTGACATTTCCAAGACAAGAGTAAAATAGCATTACAAACTTGTCAGTTACCACCTGCTCAAAGTATACTTAAAAGGTTGTCATCGTTCCTTTGAATTTTGAAGAAAAAAAGCTCCAATATTGTTTGGTGTTTGTCTATGGACTAAGTCCAATTAACATGGCATTACTTTCTGTGAGCCAATAGATTTCATATTATTAGTGCCAAACTTATCAAATCTAAAAAAAACAATTTACATTCTTGGTTGACAATACTTAAATATTTACAAATACCTAGTACATACATAAAGATACTAATATTAGATAACACATATTATTCGTCTTCAATAGTCATATTATCTAAGTGTTTAGTACTTATTGCAGAATTTGTATCATACTTATTGATAAATAATTTAGAGAGTCAACTTTTATAATGAAATATATTATACTATTAGTGGTTTAGTCAATGATAAGAAAACTACTTATCACTTTGTAATCCTTATAATACATTTATAATATACTACTAATAATACAAATATGTATGATGGATGTACCTACCTAAATAAAAATAATAGTTTTATAATCATGAAAATTATTTATTAAGTCTAAAATCAGTATTTTCTATAATTCTTTATGATTGTACATACATACATGATTTTACTTTCATTGATTATTTGGTAAGCAGGTAAATGCAATTATTAGATGTGAAGTAGGCTTCAGAGGTTATTTTATAATTAATAATGTAATAATATGATACATCAATGACCAAGAATATATTTTTTTTAAATACTTGTAGGTATTAATGTTTATAATTATTAGCCTTGACTGTATAGTATCAGTTTATCTATCAGCTACAATTATATAAATTTCTAATAAAATCAAATAACATATTAATGTTTCCAAGAACTGTGGTTTTAGCAAGTAAGTTTTTATTAAGTTGGATGTTTTTATCTTAAAACACTGTTTAATGTACATCTTACTGCACATTAATTATAATTGACGCACTAAATGACGTACATTTTGAAAAAATAACAATGTTATATTAATTATATATTGTATTCGATTATAATTAAATTTAAAATAATAATAATAAAAATAACAAGTAATTTGAATTCATGATCAAACTGTATTAAAACGTCGGCTATTTTACAAATTAACACGTGACTTTTTCTCCTGCCAAACTTTGAATTTAAACATCAACTCAGTTAATTCGTCGCACTACGATTGAGAAAACCATAATATATTGATGTACATACTATACTTTCAGTAGCTTAACTCTTCACAGTCGCCAGATAGGCAAATAAATAAACTATCAGGTCTCTCACTTCTCAGTCTGCGCAGACCGCAAACGGCAGACGTGACTACGTGAGCTGTGAGGGAACAATAAATAATATCGTACAGCATGTGTTTACTGCGTAGTACGACGATGCTATCCTGTGTGTGCTGTGTATATTACTATACATGTATACCAACGCGAGTAACAACCGGTTGTCCTTCGGATATCAGGCGTGACCTTTATTAGGTAGGTAGATATAATATATTTTTCTTTTATCTTTGACTGGCTGCCTATTTTTGTACTTGTAAATTGGATTTTGGTTTCTGCACAACAGACTACAATGTAAACAAAAACAAAAGTTGGTACGCGATGAATAGCACGTAAGCCAAAATCGTCGCGGAGAAAGCCCCATTTGCCGCTTTTACCCTGACCTCTGATGTACAAGGACTTATATAATAATTAATATAATATTCAGCCAGTTTACCGGTAGTTAATTGTTATGATTTCGGAAGGTTTATTGACATCACCATGTGTGTTATATTTTTATTCAGAACTTGTATTGAATCGCATATATTGCCTGACCGGTTAGGTTGCGTCAGCTATATAGGTCACTACAGAGAACGGACTGAAAAGATTTTGTCTTCTAGGGTCTAAGGGTTTTTATATATTATTCCTCGTGGGGCACAGCTCTTTCATGTAGCTAGAGTCGAATTTCCATTTTTAAGTATAATATCGATCTGTAATTTATAAATTTATTATTCATAAAGTAAAAGAAGTAATTTAGTTAAGTTTAGATACCCACAATTATGATGACATATTATACATAATATATTAGCTTACGAGTGTATAAATTACGTTTGTGGCGACGGGAAAAGTGGAATTAAAAAGAACCTAAGCCACTGGTTACAATTATACCATTAAATTTTAAATCATATAACATTTTATTAACATAATTAGTAATAATTACATGTAATTGTATTGAACTATGAACAACTATTAATACATATATATAGCAAGTTTTTTATTTTTTTTAAATTTAAACGGTGTTGACAATAGATAATATTATAGGTGTACCTGACTGTGTACTCGTCTATTTAAATTCACAAAACAAAATTATTATAAAATTCAAAATTTGAATGGTATAGCCGTATAGGTACATTATTAAAATGTATTGTAATATCAGTGAAAAAATATTAATGTACTCATGTAATCAATTTGATACTAATAATCAAAATCAATAAACTTCAGAATGTTGTTAAGATTATCTATACGTTAATACATTAAATTAAATTTAAATTATGTGTTCTTATCTTTGTATTGTGTTAAATATATTTTTAAAATTAACCCGATTAGTACACTTATATTTATAAACATATACATTATACAGATTCAAATTATTTATCACTGAGATAATATTATAGTTTGATGATTTATATTTTATAGGTTTAAAAAATACAATTTTTTATAGTTCACATTTGCTTAAATAAATATCTAATCCCTACTCTACTCGCATGATTATATAATTCATTAGTTAAACAAAATATCGATCATTTAATTGTACCTTACAGTTAACATTGATACTGTAGAGTGTTTTTCAATCCAAACCTATCTTTCAGTTTAGCAACATGAATCTATTATAATATTATATACACCACAATTAATTTAATACGGTATAATTTATATAATATATCTACAATAACATTAAATAATATTAACTATATAATATTATAATATCTTTTGAGTACTTTATAGTATTGCATTCAAATATTAAAGAATAAATTAAATGCGCATTTAAGTTGGGTTCTAAGTGTTTAGTTTATGGTGTTATTCCCAAGTATAACGGTACCTACTATATATGTACTATGTACTTTGAAAAAATAAAATTTCCTTATATTTGTTATTGACCTGTTTACACGTTTCGGAGTTCCTTACTTAGTGCCCAGTGGTAAACAATTATTTACTCGCCATTAAAATACATAAGTATTTTCCTTCTTTATTTATCCAGTTGGCATTTTTCTGTCTTTTTTAGGCACATAGTAAAAACCGAAGGCCCCAAGGCTCTGTTCAAAGGACTGGTGCCCAACATCGTGGGCGTCGCTCCGTCCAGAGCCATATATTTCGGGGCCTACGCACAATCCAAAAAGTTTTTCAACACCGTACTTAACCCGGACACACCGATGGTACATGTACTATCGGCGTCTTTTGCAGGTAACAATCATTTTTGTTTGTGATGTATTTAAAACGTGTTCGGAAAAAAAACATTGATAATAATGTAAACCAATCGGATTTAAAAAAAATACTATATAAGCTATAATATAAAGTATATAACATTTTGATAAGTTCATTTAGTACCTTATTGTATACTATTGCATTTATTGTATGGGACTAATATTTTACGCAGTAGTAAATTTGAATTACTCAATTTTTACTTTTTACTGTGTTTTGATTAAGTATATTATACAATAATTATGCTTATGCAACCAGCCTTAATGTTTAGGTACTATCTGTTTGTCTATACTATGGATATTTTGTTCTTACCTGAAAATGGAATAAAATCTTTCATTTATCTACATGTATTCCCAATGGCAAAATTGGCAAGATTTTTTTTTGTTCTATTTTTTAAACAACTAATAATAGTATACTTACCTAGTTCTACTTTTAATATTATAATATACTCTGTATTATTATTTTAACAAAATAAACAATATTCCCTATGTTTCCAGTTTCAATAAATAATATTAGGTATTACCTTTTATATAATTAAAGTCATTTAATTTGAAAAAACGAGATTTTGTATCTTATTAGTTATTACTGATAAAAAATTGAATGCATGTACATAACGACAAATATTTATTTAAAGAATATATTTTACTTTCCTAATTTTATTTAATAATTCATATCGTTTTTTTTTTTATAAATCAAATTATATTTTAATTTAATTTACGTCTTAAAATATAATTATAGCAACAATGCATTGTATTGTTATTATTGTAAACATTTTTGATTTTCGGAACAAATGTTGATACATATTAGTATATTAGAACATTACATATTTCAATGTTTGATATTATATTATAAATTGTTATGAACGTTGAAACATCATAAAATTTGTCAACAACCGAATAGACAAAAACACCGTGTGGAGAAATACGCGTTAAGAATCGTCGGTGAAACAAGTTAATCCAGTCGGTTCGCTTTTTTTTTACGGACCTCGTCGCTCTCGCAGCGTAGGTAAAACGATTTACAATTTATTTCGGTAGATTTTTATTATTGTTATTATTTCGATGGATCTCTGAGGTCCGGTCCCAATCGAATCCCCTTAGATTTCTGGCCACGGACTGCGTTTTTGTGTATCGACGTCCGCGATATTATTCTATTGTCGCGGTTTTAAAATATTGTTATGATATCGGCCGACGGGATTCGACGGTTTTTTGTAAGCGGGAACGGCCGCCGTCGGGGTAGTCGATCGCGGCTTCATAAATAATTGTCGCAGGTCTCATCGCGTCGTCCGTTTTTACTGCACACGAGCGGCGGATCGATGGCGGCGGCGCGAACGATATGAAAAAAAATCATATGTTCGGTGTTTTGTTTATTTTTCATACTCGGCTGTGGCGTTTGGCCTCGTTCCTTCGTCCGCCGTCGGCTGTGTGTTGTTGTTGTTGTTGTTGTTGTTATTGTCGTGTGCGCGTTACGGTGCGTGCGTTACGTCGTTTATCGTATGGCGGTTCGAGCGGCGGCTATCGTATCCCCGCTCCACCGCCTCGTCGTATCGTCGCATCGTCCTCGAACCCGCGCCGCCGCCCGGTGAGAGTATCGTATTTTTATAATACATTTTCCGCGTAAATAAAAACGTACACGTTACTTTTATCACGTAGGCCGCGTGCGAGTTGTATTACGGCCGTGTGCCTGTGTGTCGGTGTTTTGGTAAGAAATTTCCCCCTACCGCACCGGCCGCGACGAACGCCGGCGCGCCGTGTTGTGGGCGGGCGGGGTTGGTCGAGCGCGTTTAGTAAACATGCGATTCCTTTTTTTATTTATTAATTATTTATTATTATTTACAGAATTATTCACGTTGTTCCGCTGAGCGTGACTCGTCAACACGTGCCGATCGTGTTTTGGGCTAAATCTCGCGCGGCCACCGCGGCGTAGAGAGGATAATATTATTGAACAAATTATTTACGATTTTTTTGTTTCACACTGCTCAAACTCATCGGATTATTGAAATCGTTTTCTTGCGTCGACAGTATTATTAACCATTTGCATTATATGTCTGTAAATGACTGACTGACTGCCAAAATCACTGCGTTTACAATAGTATGGATATTTTGTGAGAGAAGTAGGTTTGTAACAAATATGTATTTGAAAAGAGATTTTAAAAACAGTTAAACCAGTTTCTGTAGTATATTATAATATAATAATATGCACCTAATTTACATGCTACAAGGAATATTGTAATCCTGTAAAGCAAACAGGCTTGGAACTGTTGTCTGTTTATACAATTTATACTAATAGTAATTTTGTGATCGTTTTTTCAATCGTTATGTAACCTGCATAAAGTACAATTATTATAAATGCCTGTAAAACGTGAATTTTTAATACAACTACACGACATTGGAGATTTGGAACATTTTTCCTCCCACATTAAATTTCATGAACACATACATTTCTGGTAAACATGTTTTTAAAATCTACTGATACATTCTTATAATTTAAAATAGTTTGTTATTTTATTATTATACTAAGTACCTACTTACAAGTTACTAGTTACAAACGTGTAACGGCCAAAACAGCTCAATAGACATTACTGCAATACTGCATTATGCGTAAAATTTACCTATTACATTCTTGCTAATATTTAGAATAATTTAAAAATATTTCAGTTGTAGCCAACCAGTGAAAACGCAATTATAATGTCGTAGATAGTAAAAGATGAACAAATTCAACGAATAACAATTATTAATATTTATTGTCACGTTCTTTTATAGCCGTACATATTGTGTTGGTATAACTGTTCATTTTTATAGTAAAAAACTACGGGCCTTGTGATAGAATTGAATGGGTTATAGGTACGTATGACATAACACCAAAGTTGTTTAGACAACTGTAATAGTTTAAAACTAAATAACATTTTTGGGAGACGTTTTCATTTATTTTCTGAGGAATCATGCATTTTAAGAATTTAATTATTTAAGCCCAAGTAAATAAATTATCATGTACTATTAAGTTATATGGTATGTACCGATGTACAATTGACCACAGTTAACTGTACTTGTTTCTGTAGTTTGTAGAAGTGTAGGATACTTACTAGATACTTATACTTACCGAATTTTAAAAGTTATTACACAAACATTATGAATTTAAGAATACGGATTGTAATTTTTACGCAACAGATACCAATTAATTCATCTATTTATTGTAAAATTATATTTCCAACTTGTTTTACGTATTATTTATTTGTGTTTATTGTCAAATATTTGAAGTCAAAATAGCATTTTATTTTTATTAATTGATCTTCGGATAAATTATAAATGGAACCCTAATTAGCGTTCACTAAAATGTCAATATATTAAAAAATTAACAAAATCGTAAGAACAGGTTGAATATTCTTTCATAGAGAGAAATTGCAAGTAAACAAATTAAACCAAAACATGTCTATGTAATAATGTAATATGATAGCATATTATTGCGCAGCAAATAAACCAATGCAAATACTCAATACTCTACATTATATGATAAAATATATTATAGTTAGTACAGATTTCTTCAATGACAATAAATTGCATAATTTAATTTTAATAAGTATTATATACTTTACTGAAGTAGTATCTAAACTAGGTATAGAAACTTGTTTAAATTTAAAATATATTCCTTTGAATAATGATTATTAAACAAATAAACAGTTCACTATTTGTTTTAAATTTTGAATTGTGTATAACTTGCTTCAAAACTTAAATATAAAAAATTCTGACGAGGTATCCTAGAATCTAGATATTACTCTTACTTTATATACCTGATAATAGTCAATTTACTCAAATAATACAAATAACAGATTCTTCTTAAGGTAAAATTTGCAATGTTCGTGTTTTAGTAAAGACGGAGATAAGAATAACATTTTGTTCGTATTATGTCCACTTGATAATATATGTTTTGAATTTCTCATACAAATATATAATAATATGTATTTAACTTTAAATATTTATTTTACATTTTATTAACGGGAAACTATTTGTATTTTTATTTTCCCGTGAGTTGTAAAGAATATTTATTTTACACCTATTAATGTTTTGAATACTTGAATACTAATTAATAATTATTAATTACAATCATCTATTGTCGTTAATTTTTTTTTATTTACGATAAATTCTTGAATTAATGTCGTTAAAATATTTATTGGTATTTTCAGGCCATTGTTGTAATAATTGTGTAGCTTTAAAAATGTTTTTAAAACCTTAACTATACAAATATTATGTGTACATCAGAAATGCGCTATCAGACTAAACGTTATTAAATCCAATATCACTATAAGTTAACGCGTAAATTAAATTATTAATCAATTATTAATCCTTAATTTTACAAGTATAAATTAGAAAACGCCTCGTTTATACCATATTTATTGTAAATATTTTAATTTAAACTGCGGAATACGCTGTATATAGCTGATGCAGTAAAACCGTGAGGAAAAAATGCAGTGCTTAGCCCCAGCCTAACTTTTATAAAAAAAAAAAAAGGAAAATTATTAGTCAGCGTTTTTATTACTTCGACGTTCCAACAGAACGGATTTTCCGTCGCCGATAAATACTGGTCTCATCACATCCGTCGTGTATATAGCCACTTAAATATAAAACAATGAATATTGTATCCTACGGAAAACGTTATATATAATCGAGGTTACGTTAGGTAATTAAATACCTGTAGTCTATTGAATTATTATAAAACGCATACTTTTTTTTTCACATGCATGATTACATTTTTTGGAATTCAATACGGTTTTAGTTTAGATTTTAGAACATTGTGTTGCCTATGTATTTTGGTGAGTCCTGGTAAAATAAATTACATTAGCTTAGTCAGGTAAATTTCACGACCCTCCAAAACGCAGTGCAAGTTGCATGTGTTTGCGGTTTTTTTTTAATCTTTTGAAAAATCCAATTTGAAACGAAAAATCCCCTAGTCCATATGTTATTTATCCGATAAAACATGTAGCCACTTTGTCTTAAAATTATAATTAAAAATAGAAAAAAAATACACAAATCTACGGTCAGAAATCAGTACAATTAGATATGAAAATTAAATATTTGAATACACGTACACACTCTAGTTGGCATTTTTCTATAGTATTGTCATCGTATAGAATATATTTTTAATGCCGCGGAATGGTTATGATTATTATTTATTAGGTATGTAATTTTTGTTGTTGTTGTTGTTTAATAAAGCTTCGGCGACTATTGCCATTGGCTGAATTAAATTAGCATACGTTTACACTTTAACTTAACTTAGGTACACTGGGAACACATACAAATTACAAACGATTACTTAAAGTATATTTATACTTAATAATAAATGTTATAGCGCATTTTAAGTTGTCCTGGTGGAGGGCTTCTGGCAGAATTTCGGATATTTCAGTTTCTCGTCTCTCCATTTCGAATTTAAGGTATTCAGTTTAGATGTGTTTGATCCTTAGACCTTATACTTCTAGACAATCTAGACAAGCAATAGGTGTATGGAAAGCGTTCCAAGATGGAGGGCTCTTTTTGATTATTCTATTACTTATATTACGTATGGTAGTGCGGTGTAGCAGTGTAAGATATATTGATTATTGTATTTTTTGTAAAGATAGCCTACACCACTGCTAGATGTTGTTCGCCGTTCGTAGTGCTAATGAATTGATCGTGAGGGGTACGCCGCAAATGGCGCATATATGGGGGTCTTCTCTCTTTATGTGATACTGGTGGGTTATCGAAGTGTGTCCGATTCGCATTCTATTAATGGAAGTTTTTAGGTAGGTCCATAGGTAGTGCTATTAGTTATTACATTGGAAAAATCAATTGTTGATTAATTTTCTATTGTTATTGTGATTGGTGTTAATTGTAAAATCGGTTCTGCGTGTAATTCAATTCCCGATAAATATAGCTACGTAATCGGTTAATCATATTATCTACAGTATAGTGGTAAAAATATACTAATATATTTATAAAATAGAAGCTTGAAAGTTGAGAGTAAATATTATTTTATTTTACGTTTGTCTGGCTCATGACCATAGATAAATAAGTCTTATTGAGAAATTGCATTACCTTGGCTCCAATGCAAAATCCCGTTTTTGCGTAGACATCCAGGGTTAATTATTTTATGTCAAACGAATATATTCAAATATTTGTTATTCCATCAACGACTAGATCCTTTAAACGAGATGTTTCATTGCAATTGTTCTACATTAATTCAGTTTATACACATTGAGAAACATCAACCGTGTTATGGTTTAGTTGTTTATAGGATTATATTTTAATACCTATTATCTTATTATCTTACATTATTGATTAATGATGTGTTAAAATAATTATAAATATAATTTGGGCTTACAAATGATTCTAATTTTTAGGTTTTGCTTCATGTTCAGCAACCAATCCTATTTGGCTGGTCAAAACTAGGCTTCAGCTGGACTTGAACAAAAATGGGAAAAGACTCACCGCTGGTCAATGTATCAGACGAATATATAGGACTGGGGTAAATATTTATAGACCACAGTCCACCCTATTATTAATATAAAAAAAATTACTATTTACATAAATTAAAATAAATTGTGTTTGTGCACAGGGCATAAAAGGTTTCTATAAAGGTATTACAGCTTCGTACTTTGGAATATCTGAGACTGTTGTGCACTTTGTCATCTACGAAGCAATCAAAGCGAGACTGATAGCCGCCCGTGTTGGACTTAATGAGTCTGAAGATAATACCAAAACCTCCAAAGATTTCCTCGAATTCATGATGGCCGGTGCCATTTCCAAGACTGTTGCTTCGTCCATCGCCTATCCTCACGGTAATGCAGTAACCCTAGCTATACCACGTTATACCTAGTTAGCATAAATAATTTAATTTAAACTTTTGTTCCCAAAATGCAACGAAAACAGCAAAATATATTTATTTACTTTTATTAAAAACCGGTAGCACGAGTTCAATTATTTTAGATAATTTATTATAAAATGCATATACTATATGTATATTGTATATATGTCTGGTGGGTTCACATTTAAATATTTTCTTATTTTATAAATTATATTTTATTTTATTATAACTTACACGCTATGAGCTACATGTCTATCTATAAATACACTGCAATCAAATAATTTGGTACTGTGTTTTTTTTACCGTGTTCTATATTTACTTAATAATTTATGGTTTTGTTTTTCGTGTGTTTATACAGAGGTCGCTAGAACTAGGCTCCGGGAAGAAGGTACCAAGTATCGAAGCTTCTTCCAGACTCTGTTAACGGTTTATGGCGAAGAGGGCCCAAGGGGACTATACCGCGGTCTGACCACTCAGCTGGTTAGACAAATACCTAACACGGCCATTATGATGGCGACATACGAGGCTGCTGTTTATGTGATGACTACGTATTATAGTCCTAACGAGGCTGTGTTCTACGAAGATTCCGATGATAGATACGAGTGATATTTATTGCCAATATTATATTATAATATGGTGAGTTTTAATTTATTAAAACTTATACTACTTATCAATGTATAGTTTTTTGATGGTAGATTAAAATATTTTTAAAAAAATTCCAAAACAGAAAACGCAAATAAAAAATGTAGGCACTTATTACAAACAATTGTAATAATTTCGGTTTATACATAACAAGAAATCCAATTAAGGTTATTTCAATGAAATGGTGTATCCAGCCTTTTGCGAAGTCAAAAGTATTAGATTACACAAGAAAACTATATTGGAAAAATTTAAAACCTATAAGATTTCACACACGCCATTCAATTCGATTAGTAAAACTGAAGTAAATACCTATATAATCTCCTGTATTTTACAGTATCAATACGTATCTATTATACAAATTGACGTAATATCAAATTCAATAAAAATAACAAAATTACAAAATATTACTACTTAAAATAAAATATGTCTGCTTCTTAGTAAAGTATTTTTAATCAATATCTGCCTCACGCGTTTAGTTTGCCCACATTCTCACAGCTCTTTACAAGGACATTTTGTCCGAAAAATATTATATATAGACATCGCAATTATTGATACCTAATACTCGAGAAATATGACACACCTCTCAATAATTACCCTTTACACTATTTTCTTTCCAAAGGTAAACAATGCCTAGTAATTATAATTTATAATAATATAAATTGTTAAAAAAAAAGTAAATCAATTAGGTATTATAATATGATACTAATAATAATAATAAATAATGTATTATATTATTTATTAAGAGTTTATCACACTGATAATATATCATTAAATAAATTATAATACGACATTTTGATAACCTTTGATTGGTCCGGTAATATAATGAAGTAACAAAACAATTCTAAATGTCTTGAATGCAAATCTATTAATAGGTACTGTTCAATGACGTCCGTTGCACGTCAAACATTTGATAAAATTGTTTTTCTATAATATAGACAGCCGACCAGCCAAACGTAATTCGTTTGCCGCACGTGATAAAATATTTTTACATGCCGTTTATTTATTTTTCAGGTTGAAGATCTCAACGTATCGCAATTTTAGTTAATATGTTGACATAGTCGCCTACTACCCGAAAATTTGCTCCATTTACTATTGAACAATCTCTGCGCACATAAGTCATTGAAGAGCATAAGCCACATTTATTTATTACGTGATATATTTAATGTATTCCAACAATTTATTTCTTTTTCATAAGTCTATTATCTCATCACGTCCCTCGTCTTGTTTGTTTGCCTTCCTATTAATTCTCTTTTTTTATATACTTATATTTACAATTTATTAGTTAAGCATTTGTTTATTTAGTTCATAATTTTTAAGCTGTCTGTCAGACAATTCAACCAATATTATTATTATTTTTATTTATTGGCGTTAATTCTATTTATTTAAATTAAAGTCATTATTATTATACTTAGTTAATATTTATAGATTTAGGTAATCTACATCTACAAGCGAGTTAGTCAAAGACGATCCTAAAATATACACTTTCAATACATATTGCGATTCTGCCATAGTATGAGTAGTTTACTAATATGACATTAAATTATACCAAAATAATTATTTTTTTGTATTTTGCAAGTGATTTGTAAGTTTTTTTTCATACCTTATGGTAGTATATTGTATGTAATATTCAAAAACAAAGGTTCCAATGTAATGGGTGCAGAGGACACTAAAAGTAAATATAAGTATTACTGTTTGGAGATGAAATTGTCTAGTAAGAAATGCTGTATATTATGTGTTTGTAAAATATAGTCTTGTTTATAGCGTAACAACTATTATTAATGTTATCAAAACAAATATATTTGTTTTTATTATTGTATTTTGTGTATGTGACGATGTAATCTTTTATGAACTTTTGACATTTGCTTTTAGTATATTAAAATTGTTTATAAAGAAAACTAAAAAAAATTGTGTTCATGCTGTATTCTGTTAAGCCATTGTGGTTGGTTGTGAAATAGCACTATTATAATCGTATAATGTTTATACTCAAAGGTGTGCCTACAAAGTTATTTCTGAAAATATTTTTATTATTTAAAAAAAATTGATTTTCCTCTAATTAATCAAAAACACGGTGAGGATTTTTCACGAATGATGATTGTTGTTTATTTATAATCGATATTGATTTACATTACTTCATTAGTCATGAAACTGATTTTAGGTTAATTGTTTGTTTGATGATCTTAATGGAAATTTTATTTATTTATTTATTTGATAACTCCCTAGAGAGCATTGGTTAAAAATACAATAATGTATAATTTGTTGACTTTATATTATGCATTTATTTCAATGAAATGAAATGGTTTACGCTCAAATTATTTAAATTAGCTTAAAATTATCCAAACATATTTCATGTCATTACTGTAAGTACATATATTAATTTGTACTTTATTATATTGACATTTAGGTACATTCTGAAATTATTTAAATCAAATTCAAGTCCAATTACTGAAGAAGAATAGTTTTTATGAAAACATTAACAAATAAAATATATTAAACATTGGACAATAGGTGTTTGTTTTTATTCATAATCATTAAGTGCACACTAAATTAAAATAAAAAGATTGAAAACAGCTTATACACCTAATCAAATACTTTAGACATACCTCACAAATTGTGGTGCACAACTCTCCCGCTTTAACTTTTAAAATTATTTTTTACAATATCTATACTTCACCATTTTAAATAACGCTAATGTATTGCTCTATAAAATATGAAATTTAAATTATAGGTGTTAAAATAATGAAAATTATCACCATTATTATTGGCAAGGTGGAGTTAGCCATACCTACCCGAGAAATCTTATACTTGGCTGTTTAGGGTTCATGATCTCAAACTTTAAATATATTGTTATATTAGAGTTATTACTATTATTATACTCATATTCACATAATATATTTCTCAATATTTGCTTACCAATTTAAATTGAATTATCAGTGTCACACACTCACACCGCCATACTGTTCAGTGATAATGTATTATAATAATTGTTTAACAATGAATATAAGGTAGGTAGGTGAGGTGTATACATTAAAATTAAAAAATATGATAAACGAATAACAGGTACTGCTAGTTAATTACTTGATAAATTGAAAACTCCTATCTATCGTTTTATAATTTGTTTTTATTAATATATTTCAATACAATGTACTTAACTTTTTATTACTGCACTTATTTATATGTAATGTTATGTTAATTATTTAATTATTTATAAAAATACTATTGTAATGATTGTATTTATACATGCATTTGTTATAGCTACATGATATAATATAAGTAATTATGTTATTATACAATATACATTTAACAATATATTGGACTTTGATTTTGTGAAATTAAAGATATTTATTTTATGTTTTGAATATTTTCATTAATTACTTCACTTGTATTAAAAAAAGTTCACAAAATGTACCTAATTATTGAGGCAACCTTGAACCTACCTAATATACCTAGTACCTACCTATAATGAATTTCATTTTTAATAGATTACAGATATTTATTAAATAATTTTCAGAAGAGTATGGTAATACAAGATACTTACCTATTTAAGATACGAGTATTTTCAACACTGCCCATACCGATACATATACAGTATATTTATTAGTAATTAAATTTGATCTTTGATATAATTATTACTTAAATTTTCAATGTATTTTTCAAGTGGGTACAACACCCTCGAGTTGTCTTTCATTTGCAGCATAGTTAAGATCCCAGTTATCAATAATACTAAAATTTGTAATAATATATTAGTTTTCATTAAATAATCATGTGACATATTAATTTTATTATTACAAAGTTTCCATCACCTAAATTTAGTGCTATAATTGTAGGTTCCTACCTGGCTACCTACCTACAAAAGATAAAATCAATTTTTAGCATTAGACAAGAAACAAAGGATAACAATATTTTGTCATTTTATTTTTATTTAATTCATCAATTGTTCTTATTGTTCTATTTTATTGTAACAGATTGCATAAAAATCTTTTAATAACAAAAAAAAAAAAACAATATTTTGTATCATATTAAGCACAAAATACAAATTACTATAATTTAGTTAATAATAATTAATAGGTAGAACTATAGAAGGATTTACCTATTTATAAACTCTCCTAACTTCCCAGGTCTGTATAATAACTGTCCGTCGTTTTGTACATTATTATTACCTATATCAATAGATACCTACCATCCTGCCCTTGTTGCCTGTATACATATATACATATAATATGTATAAGATAATATGATCAAACAATTTAAAAAAATAGTAGGTATGTAAATAAAATAAGTAAGTAAATAAAATGATCAGTTAAATTACATTTTTTTTTTTTATTGATGATTAAATCGTTATCTAGGCTATTAGAAGTCTAAGAATTTTGTGTTAGGTTAGGTGTTATTTACATTTTAAATGAAATTTTTATAAAAATATGAAAATTAGAGTCTTAAAAAACGTAAGGTGTCTTTTTTTGATGTGTTTAATCTATTTCTTTAAATTTTTCCTTATACTTTTTGTACCCATGTGAAAGTGTTTACTTGTTTTATTTGTTTTTGTTGTATTTTTAATTGTTATGTAAGTTTACACTTAGGTTTCAATATCTTTGAAAAATAAATGATATTACCTAACACTTAATCAACACTTCTTTGTATAAAGTAAAAAAAAAGGCTATATTCCAGCAACGATCAAATCCATACCTATATAATATTGTAAAAATAAATGTTTCAAATAAAGCATTGAAATTCAATTTTAAATGTAAAATAATCCAATAAGACCGTTCCGTAGCCCAATCTAAGCAACTCGGAAAATTCTGCATGCAACAATCGTATACGTTCTATTAACATTATTATTTCTGAATTTGTCCTTCCACCTGGGAAAGCGATTAACCCAAAAGGTAGGCATTTCCAAAATCTATTTAATTCACTAAGTCGGTAACCAAAGTTACCTAATCACCTAACATAACCTAACCTAAAATAGACCCAAAATGTCCAATAGTTTTGTAATTAATTTGCCTATTCCACACGCCGTGTGATCATAATTATATTTCTTGGCATGCTTGACCACCCGAATTCTTATTTAACACGTTAATTAATGTCATTTGTAAGTATTTTAAACACAAACTCATCAAAATTAGAATTTTTGATGTATATACATACATAGCCAATACTGATTATCTTCAAAATATTAACCGACGAAAAACTTCTCGATTGCCAGACGTTTCTTTTTATTTTACACAGAGCTGATAATTAGTAAATATTTAGAAGCACAAAATCATAATTTGGCCCTTGTAAGTCAACTCTTCTTTATACCTCCTGAAAACTTAGTAAACATATTCACTTTATACATTTTTTATCTAACCCGTATTTTTGTAAATCTTATTGAAGATTCCAACTTTTTATTACTTAGTCATATTCAAAATTTGAAGTTTATGATTATTGGCACATATATTATATTAATATATTTTTAATGTTTAATCATTTATTTTTAGTAACACTATTATACAAGTAAAATATAAATGTATAAAAATATAAAATACTTATTTAATATTTTTGGTATAATTTATTAGAAAGCAAAATTTAAAAATTACAATGTATTATTAAATTAAAAAAAGCGGGCAAATGGGTTACGCTCTGCTGTACATTGGGCGTTAAGATTATTTATGTATGATCTTACAACAATGTATTTTGTTGTGACTATGTATACTTATAGTATTCGATAATACTTCAATTTTCAACTTCAGTATATATTCTTGCGAAAAAGTATATAATCTAGTCTGTACCTAAATACAAGGTTCCTCGCAAATTGTTATAAGTGAAAATGTGTAATTAAAAAAAGTTATACGAAAATTTGAGTTATTTTGTAGTTATAAATAAATAGTTTTTTTTATAGATATTTGAAGTTTAAATTTGGACGAAATATTTAAACAATGAATAAAAATTGTTGTTATTTTGTTGTAATTTAAAAATATTATTTCCAGGTGAAATCAAAGAGGAATACTTTTTTAAGTTTATTATTATGTTTTACACACACAATGACACATTTTAAAATGCAATGTTTTTGGCAAAAATTAATCCAACCTACTGTAATACTGATGGTAAAATAAATAATTTTAATAGGAATGGCATTTATAAAAGTGTATGTTAGTCTGTTTGTGACTTATGGACTCCTCGTCCACTGAACCAATCTTGATGATACTTATGAAAATCATTCAATAACACAATTTAACCAATGACAATGATTTATATTAAAATTGATATACCACTATAATTGTGATTTGTGAGTAATGACATGTATAGCACAATAAATTATTATTAATTTACTGTCTATACAAAAATATAATTTAAATTATATATATATATATATATATAATATGTATACATTATACATCTATTTTTACTAGTAATGCTTATCATTTCTTTTAAATAAACTAAAAAACTAATATTTTTGAGATACACATCAAAATTAAGCAATATCTAATAACCTAAAAGTATGAATAAATAATTTAGTACAATTTTGTTACTAAGAAATGAATGGTAAAACAATATGCGACTAGAAATAATTATAATTTATAATACGCACATAATAATATTCAGTATATACAATATTATAATATAAGTAGATTTTATCATATTATGATTATCTATTGCTTTGTTGCTGTAACTATAACACTAATTATACTTAATTATATAATTATGGCTTGATAATTTATTTCACTGTTTAATATTTTCTTAAATAAGTATTTTACCAATGTAAAAGCAGATGTAGTGAAATTGTATTATTAAAGATGTATAACAGAAAATAATACAAGTGATACACATTATCTTTACACATCAAGAGAAAAACAATTTTATATCACAATAATTGTGTGAATTCAATTTAGTGACTCTCTAGAAAGATATAATATAATGAGGTTTACAGTTCAAGAGCGGGTGCCACATGCTTCCTTGTAATTGGAAGCATTAAAAGTGGTAAAGTAATCATCATGTATAAACCTTATAGCAGACTCAATAGGGCACAGGTAAACTGATGAGTCTGTCAAGCTGCCAGTACGCGTTTTACAAAAAGCCACTGATCGGGTTACATCCTTACCATTGAAGATTACTCTAAAGTAAAAGTCCCTACCGGGGTATGTGGTATCAACCGTGTTGTTTCGATATACCTCAAACACTAGGCGGGAAGCATAGTGAGGTGACATGGTTTCAGCATTGAGAACTCCAAATGCCGATAAAAGATATTGAGCAGTCAAGTCATGACCGGAGTATAGGACCAAACGAGGTTTACTTTCGGATACCATTTTTAACAAGTTCATGGCAATATTCAACGCAAAACCATAGGACTTTAGAAGTCCATATTTTCGCAACAGCCCATGTTTAGCATAACGTTCCAAGTCCCAATCAATGTAGTTGAAAAGCTGTTCTACGTTGTCATGTGTTATACAATCATTCTGATAGCAAGGCAGTGGTGCTCCATGGCACACATACGTCATAATAGAATCCTTAATTAAGTAAGGGTCTACCCGCACACTACTGGACAATAGATGCACTATATTGTGTATGCTTTTGAGCATTCTTTCAACTACCCTACGGCTCTTTAACCGTCTTGCAGATGATTGTTTTATTTTCATTTGTAAGCTATTAACATTAAAACAGGCACAATGATCAAAACAATAACTGTAACTATCACTCTCCTTGAACGTGACTTTGGACAAAACATCTGGTGACAAAACTGCATACATGAAGGCCAATGCACTTTGGAATGTGCGTCTGTACTTAGTGCTATATATTATTATGTCATCAGAATTAGAAACACTAAGCAAAGGGTGGTACACAGAACGCAAAGTTTGTCCAAGCTTCAGCATTTGGGATACACCAATCGGGGTGAGTTGACTTATGGAACAATTATTTTGTGGTGGATATAATGGGTACCCATGAAAAGGACCTAAAAACTGTAATGACATGTTGAAGAATATGTTTTGCAAGAATTTTGTATAACCATTATACTCCTGATCAGGTTCCATACTGCAGTCTACATCTGCTATGTTTCGAACATGATTCATTGGCCCACGATCTCCATGTCTAGTCAGTATTATTACTCCTTGGATTGTAAGACTGTTGTTTAGCAAACCTTTAAAAATAGATAATAGAATAGTAAAATGAGGTACTGTGTAATAAACATTGTTTGGTTAAATATGAATACCAATATCTCCTTCATCACCACGTTCAATCATGTGTGGAGGATTGCACACTTTAGTAAGTTTATTGTAATCGATTCTTGATACTGTTCTTTTATTCTTTTGCGCAGGGTTTTCAGATTTGTTCACAGTCTTATTGTCAGGTACAGGACGATCAGAAATCTTGAAATACAACACTGAAATAGTTAACACAGTTTTAAGATTAAATGCAAAATCATCTACAGGCAGGCTGTTAAAATGTTACCTGGAAAAAGTATGCACAGCCATATGATCAAATAGACTAAATATCTGTGGCGGGCCATATTTCTGACAGTCACAGCCTGGACGTTTGCCATTACAGTTTATTCAAGTGTGCAGTAGTTTCCAGCAACAGCCTTAGAACATTGACTTACCACTAAATATACATGCGTTCACATTGTTTCTATTATCACCCTATATTCACTTCAGACAGTGGTAAGTTAGGTATGTTGTCAGTTCCCAATGATTTGCATTGCCTAGTTGGCTTACAGGAATGTCTGTCCCCGCCTTTCTGTGCCCTAGGATCATGTTCTGTACATGGCTATATCAACGTGCTTATGACATGCCGTACAATCACCTTTCAGGGGTATTCGGTATAACTAGGTAACTACAATCTACTTTACTTTTTCACTAAAATAGGTAGGTACCTCTTAAGTCCAGAGGCCCTACAATATGATGACTCACAACTAAAATTGCTACTTGCAATTTCCATCTTACAATACGCAATAACGCGCATTGTGTTCACGCGACACGCATAGATATTAGATAGACATTATTATTTATTTATATTGTTTAGTAACTATTAAAGTATTAACAATTAAGTTTTAACTATGAATTCGTGCAAAATATCATGATTTTTGGATAGTGATAACTTGGTTGCTGTAGCTAGTATCATGAACATATAAAATAATCACGGTATTGGAATAATTGGACTGTATATAAGACCGTATATAAAACGGACAGCACGCTATCACTTATCACTCTTTATTATGGTCATGTGTGGTCACTTGGTTTTGGATGAAAATTTTTTGCGCCAATTATATTGTAATTCAAAGCACATTTGAATATCATTGAACTTAAAAATACCTATATAAGATATAATAATTTTTATTTTTTATTTTTTAGTAGAATATATACAATCTGTAAATAGATTTTTTTGCAATAAGAATATGAGCTAAGTATTAATAATTTGACATGAGTTACTTGTTAAAAGGAGTACTCCAGCGGCTATACTTTACATGATTAAATTGTTGTTAGATATAATACTTAAAAGCTATATCCAAATCAATTAATAATAATTAATAATTGGCACGAAATAAATAATTATACTTAACTGTATTTTTTCATCGTGTGTTTAGGTATTTGTACATAATCATACTGTCATCGTGACTTCGTATAGTTTCTAATTCAAAATACATTGTCGAACGAATTAAAAAAGTGTTATTCTTGAAAACCGAAACACATGTGGTACAAAAATCATTCTACATTTCTACAATATACCTGTCGACTGGGTCTTGAAAGGTGATAAGTGATAACACTTTAGTCTCACTTCAGTCTCTGTATTGAACAAAATATTTAGGATCAACCTACTCTAATAGGTATTAAGTACATGACTCACTACTTTAAAAGTTCGTAGTACCTACCCATAAAAATATCCTAATAAAGTAATAACGTTCAGTGGTGTATCCAGGGGACCAAGGGAGCCCTGTTTTTGGTATAAATCGTATATAATAAAAGGCAAAGTACGAACAATTATACTTCTGAAAACGGTTGTGATTGTGAAAAACATTTTTGTACTATTAATTATTTGTAAAGGTTTATAGGTATTTAAAATCGTTATTATTCGTTTAAACATCCAATTTTGTCTACATTTTAATTTGTCATATGTAGGTACAAACAACAGTTGTGCAAATGTATTTTTAGGTTGCTATAAAAACAACTAATGAGGAAAATTGTATTTAATTGTTAAGCTTTTTTCAGAAATAAACATTTTATCAAAATCGAAATAATAACTAGTAACTGCTATACACAATGAATAATAATAATTAAATACTATTAAATTATCCATTATTTGAATTTATAAGTAAACAATAATCAAGACTTCAATAAAAGAAATAACTGTGTTCCTCTAGCAGTTTTTTTTTGTATTATTCACACTTGTATTAATTTGTATAGGTACTTTGACAGCTGATCAAATGACCTTCTGAATAGTTATGAATTTAATAGTTTTTAATTTATTAAGATTATAAATTAGAATAGGTAGACAGTTTCAAGATTTTACTACGACATAATTTCTTACTTAATTGAAATGTATTGATTTTAATAATGCATTATCCTGCCGGTGGAAAGGCCCCAAACATTGTATTGTTTTAATACAGATTGCTTAATTAAATTAATTATTTACACAATTTCAATAATAAAATATTTACGAAGTATATCGGTACATACTCGCATGCGTGTAAGGGGCCTGTGGTTGTCAATAAACTATAAAGTATTAATATTTTAAATTTAGAATGATTTTCAGATTGTGTCCGTGGGCCGTGGCAATACATAATTATTCTAACTCTAAAAAATAAATTTAAGCCCCGAAATAATATGAAAACAAACTTACATGTAAACATAAAATCTTCTGGTGAAACCTAGTTTATCTATAGTTCAGACGTGCACTTCACAGCCGCCATAGAAACAGCTTTTTTTATCAGTCTTCATCTCTCTCTGACAGTCCGATGTGTAACTTGAAAGTATCGAGATATTTTATGAAATAACCAGTACTGAACGAAATATGCGAGTATAAAATATTATATACTAAATTACTGTTTGATGACTTGTACATCTTTGTTCTCATTTTTTTTTTTGTTCAATAAAATTATTACAACTGCCAATCGTCTCCGAATCTCCGGTGAATGGTGACAATATTGGCGATTGCTATAGACCAGTGGTTCCCAACCTTTTAAAAAAAATTCGATGTGATGAGAGTTTTGATACATTTTTAAAAGATGCTGAAACCATAGCTCTTGAATTGGATATTGCATGAGGCTTCTTTTACGCAACAAACTTCTATACGCCCACGAAAAAAGAAAACCGTGTTCTTTTTTTATGAACAACCAGATGAACCCATAATTAATTTAAAAACTAAATTTAAAGTTGAATTATACTTTTATATATTAGACGTAGCTCTCAATTCTCTCGAAGAAAGATTTGAACAATTACATAACCACTGCGATAACTTTAAATTTTTGTATGATATAAGTAGTCTAAAAAGTATAACGAAAGATAACATTGTGAAAAATTGTATGGATCTTCAATTGCTACTATCAGAAAATGAAAATGTTAGACCCAAAATGTAATTCAGATATTGATGCCATAGAAATGACAGATGAGTTAGTAGCAATATCTGAGTTATTAAAACCCAACAGTACTCCATTAGAAGTGTTACAGTTTATTGTAAATAATAACAATTTTGTACCAAATGTAGCTGTAGCACTTCGAATTATTTTAACTATGCCTGTGTCGGCGGTCGCATCTGGTGAACGGAGCTTTTTAAAATTAAAAATAATTAAAAACTATTTAAGGTCTTCTATGAATCAAGAAAGGTTAAGTGATCTTGCTACAATTTCTATTGAAAAAGAAGTAATGGAAAATCTGGAATTTAAAAGTTTACTGATTGATTTTGCCCAAGAAAAGGCTCGCAAAATTAATTTTGTTTAATATATTTTTAATTTTTTAATTAAATATTTTTTTATGTTAAATTAAATACATATTTTTGATCTATGATAACGATAATGAATGTATAACGATGGTCAAAAATATAACTTGTTCTATTTCATACCCAACATTTATATTAATTTTATTATTATTATTTTATATTTTGTAAAGAAAACTTAAGTCAGTCAAAACATTTTATTTTGTTTAAATAAACAATGATTCATAGATAAAAACAAATGTCCTTATTTTATTCAACCCTTTCCTCTCCTAAAAATTAACTATTGCATAGGGCAGCGTAAATTAGATTTGCCTAGGGCGGCAAAAAACCTTCGGCCGGCCCTGCTTTTTGGTACTACGGACTACTATGAGAACTTTCAATACGTCACGGACCACCTCAATTGTATACCTTATTTTTCTTACAAATAAGAATTAATTTTTTTCACATATTTTAGAATTTTGATTATTATTACATGAAGAGGCTTTTAATAACATGGGTTTCTCTATGTAACATAAATTTATAAATAAACGACGTACTATACACGATTGTCAATAATTAGTGTTATGCTTCAAAGGAAAATGAAATTATTAAAATATTTTAACATTTTGTAAGTATGGCTGCTCGCGGACCACCTGACAATGTCTCACGGACCACTAGTGGTATAGACGATAAGTGTTATAATATGGTATATGAAATATGATAAATATATCCATAGGACCATAGACCTTACATTAAATATGAGGTCTAATATCTATGGATAAAATATTATGTTATTATTTCATAGAACTCTTTGTGTTTAGCCTACCAAATTATATTATCCTGTTTAGACTAACAGGACAATTAAGAATTAGTTGTATAATTAAATTATTAAAATAATTCTGGAATAGGTACATAAAAAATGTATTAATTTAACGGTCCAATAAAATTGAATGGATCAATCATGGGTCACTTTTGATCCACTATTGACTCACTATTGAATCGTTAAATGTTTAGTGATTGTTCATGTAACGCGGCATATAATACCCTCGAGAAATAAAGGCTGCCTATTGTCTCTGACTAATCGTATATTATAAGCTAGGAATATCTTATTTAACATGTCTATTCATCACTGTAGTGGTGTTCTTAACTCGGAGTATGTAGTCTAATCTGATTCTTATACATAAGGTAAGTACATCTTTCTATTGTAGTGTGTTTGGTTTGTATTGTAAAGACGTATAGCCGATAATTATGTAGGTATGGTAAGCAAACAAAAAACAATTAAAATATTAGGATTATGCTGTCTTGCAAATTGTAAATTTGTATTTTTACAATCTTTTTTATGAAATTATATCAATAGTTTTCATTAAACTGTTAATTATGAATTCTAAAATGATTTAAAATAATACAATGTTTGCTTATGTATTGTTTTTTTTTTTGTATATGTATTGTGATAAATGATTATAATGACTATATTTAATAATAATTTTTTGAAATAAGGAAGGTAGCTTGTTTGTGTTGCATAAACACAATATGCATGATAAATAGGTACGTATTAAATAATTTAATAACTTGTTTAATATTACCGATGTATAATTAATATTTAATAGTTCAAAATATAACATAATCCTAATAATAATAATTATTATTAACTATCCATCTCAAATCTTGGATTATATTTGAAAAACAAATAATATGTTTAATAAATCCCCTTTTAAGGTATGCATAGGCAATGAAATATGTTGGTTATCGTCTTATCAGAAGTGACGAGTGATAAAAGTACATTGTACGTTGTACGGGAATTACTCATTACTGAACTATTATTATTATATTTAAATATTATACTTTCGCGATTTCGCATACATTAATTATATTTTGTTCGTTGTTAAATTAGTTTTTATAGTTTTTATATTTTCTTACTTATTTACAGTTATTATCGTTGTTGATTTTTAATGTTAAATTTTTATCAGAATTCAGAAGTAGTAGTTGCATAAAAACTGCACAATTTCTACTTGTTATGCCCAATTTTTTAGTTGAGATCATAGATCATCAGCTATAGCTTTAAATTTAATAGACTGTGTTTATCTAAAATACAATTATTAATAGGTTGGTACTCTATTCTCATATTAATAAACAGTGTACCTATAATTGTATACAAATACAAAAAAAGTAAATAGGTACAAACTACAAAACTATAATCATTGAGTTTATATTGTATAATATATTAAACTCATCGCTATTTTTAATATACACTAATTAGTGGCTTTCGTCAAAGACTGTCTAAATCTCTAAATTAGCACCAGAGTTGAAAACATTAAGTATAGCCTTTAAAAGAGTCTTGTAATAATTTTAATTTTTGTTTTTTGATTTGCTAGTTTGAAATGGGGGTTAGAAGGGCTTATTTTCATTGAAAAATACCATTTTGGTTTAAGATTTCAGAATGTGCATTTAAATTTAAAATGATTAGGAGGTACCTATCAATTATAACTTTTTTTGTCTCAGATTATGTCAAATTCAAAATAAGGTACACAAAGTGCAAGTCAAAACAAAATGAATAATGCTTTACTTCCCGATAACCTGGAAATAAATTACAGAAACAATCATTATAAACGTAAGTATTCAAATAATTGGATTATTGTGTAATTTATTAGTACTGCTTACAACTTTTGTCTTATGTTTTAGATGCTCAAGATGTATTAAACAGTATTATTTGGTGCTCTATTTGTAATTCAGACTTGAAACAGAATATCATCATGAATAAAAAAATTATGCTTCATAAAAAGTTTTTATGTCTTTGTTGTAAAGTGAGTGTTTATGCAGTGAATTGAAATTACCTACCTGTAAATTGTAATAACATTATTGTTAATTAATATTTAGTGTACCTATAATTAAAAATAAATAATCATTATGTATTTTAAAAATAGATTGTCATGATTGAGAATTTTGAAAAATCACATCAAATGACAAAGTGTATTAATAAATCTTATTGTAACAAAAGTTAATGACATTTATTTTTTAAGGTGTAAATTATTTGAATGTTGTTTAAAGATAGCCAGAATTAATTTAATTGAAAATCTTCAAAATTATGTTTATTTTTACAGAATTGTTTTGAAAAATTATCAGATTCAAAAAATGGATGTATATTGTGCTCGTTCAAAACCAAACTTAAAACGTGCAAGACATGTAAAAGCTATATGTGCAAGGTAAACTTCTTTAATTAATCTTAAATTTTCTATTTCCCTTTTCATGCCAACAACTAACTATACTTAAAGAGCTATCAAAAACAAATTTAATAAGCTTTAAAATTAAAAAATCAATAAAGATTATAATTTATAAGAACGATGCATTTTAACTCTACTCCATATTATGTCTATGTAAACCGGTTTATTATTTTGTTTCTGATAACTCCATTGGACCCATCGGATGTCTCGGCAAAAAGTAAACAAAATTGGTACCATAGTAAAAAATTATAAAAAATTTTCAAAATAGCATACAATCTATTCCACAATCAATATGATTATTATTACATAGAATTCATCATCACCAGGGCTCGTAAGTTCATGCACTAAAAAAAGCACAAATAAGCACGCATTCATGCACTAAAAATTGGCAAAATATGCATTAAAATATGCACTAAAAAGTTTGAAAATATGCATTTAAATGCCCTTACATTTTTAAATTATGCACTCAAAATATGCATTATGTAAAATATTTATGAGCAAATTTTAAAATAATAAGAATATATCCATTAATTTTAAAAGTATTTTATTCCTTTTAATTTTTATACATTTAACAATCAAAATTAATAAAATGAATACTTGTGAAGTTCATATAATCATACGAATTTGTCATCTTTATTCATTTTAATTAGGTAGTCATTTTTTGTCTAATTTTTGTACACCATTATCCTGTACCTACAATGAAAATATTTGGAATGAAATATTAGTTATTTGACATTTTCACGATTCGTACAGTTAAACAACTCATCGGCGACTGGGGTGTGCAAGAAAACTATACTGTACCAGTGTACAAAATTGTAGATGCGGATTGGCAAGAAACATTGTACAGGTGTACATGCTTGTGCAGGTATCGTTTCGCCGAGGGACTATATACGGCGGAGGATGGTAGTGGTAGCTATAAAATTGTTTCCGCGGTACTAAGTAAAACGCATAAAATCTAAGTAGGGAAATACTAGAAAAGTAAGTAGTCACACGAAAATAAAAATAAATCAAAACACTATCATTCAGTAAACGGGAAAGTAAATAAGAAACAAGAAACATTTCAAATATTTTTCTAAACAATTTTTTTATGAAATAATATGAGCTATAAACTCTAAAAAAACGATTATATGCCAAATATGCCTTTACACCCAAAACATGCACTATTAAACTTCATACTATTATTACTATTGTTATGAAACAGATTTGTATCTCAGACCTCAGTTAGCATATTTTTCTGTGTAGCAAAAAAAACATACAAATGCATGAACTTACGAGCCCTGATCATCACATTTTTCCTGAGTATTGGATTGGTTGAAGCTAATGTATTGGAAAGAAAACTTAATTTATAATTCATGTTCAACTACTCGTCCGCTATTCTTAGTCATAACTCATAAGGAAGAAGAGAGGATCTAATCAATAAATCAATTAAAGGAAAGAATATATTTTCACTGATTGTTGCTTAGTGCATCATGTTACAGTTGAAATTGTTTAAAGTATCATTCAATTTTAAATTGACTTGATCAGAATTTCATGAATACACATAATAAGAAAACTAAGTTTTTGAAATAGGTCAAAAAGTCAAAAGTATTAAAATTAAAAATAACTAAATAAATGCATTTTAATGTGTAACAATAATGAATACCAAACATAAGTTTTTATTTTTATGAGAAGTCTGAGTCCAATGCGGGTTTGTGCGTAACGCTGCACACTTTTTGAACTCTCAAAATTAATCTAATACATATTGATATTGATACACTCAAATTAATTACCAAAATCCATCCCAATATTCTATGTTAAATACAATATGGATATGTTTAATAACAATCCATTACCAACCAACCTATATTATTCAGTTATTAAAATAATAATTTAAAAAATAATAAATATAAGTTTGTTTTTCTTATAAAAAAAGGTAAAGTTCAAGCAAAAAAAGTCTTTCAATATTCAAATATATCCTGATCATTTTCCCAGTCAATAATTTAGTATTCATAGTTCCTAATCCTAAGCCTACTCAATAAACTACAAAATGTATTATTATTATTGTAAATGTTTTTAAGGACAAAATATTAATAATTTTATTTTATTTTCTAGAGATGTGTGGACAATTACTACATTAAGACAAAACGTTTAAAAAAATTAAAACATTGTTTAGGATGCTCTTCAAGTGTTTTATGGAGTTTAAGATCTCAAGCAGTTGCAGTCTTAAAATGTTTTTCACTGGAACTGTAAGTTAAAAAAAATGTATATCTTATCAACTGAATATCTTTATTGTTTTATAGTAAATTTTGCATTTAAACACAAAGTAGTTTAATAATAACAAGTTATCCATTAAATAAACCAATTATTATTTATGATAATTGTAAGTTTTGATAGGTTTATATTTTTATTTTTATTTTTTTTGAACCATTCCAAAACTTCCTTATCTTTTTTTTTTATTGTTCTTAATTACATCGGCTGCCAAGGCCATTAGTTACAATTAAGTGTATGAATCATAATTATCATCTAAATTTGGTTGAACAGGTTGGGTTTTCTCAAGAATTTGATTATGTTGTTGATAACGTGTTGGGACTTAAAGCCACATCTAAGTTGGTTGAGATGCTGAGTTTTTTATGTCTTCTTAGTTCTTTGTATTTATGGCATTCAGTTAATTGCTTAACCGTCTTATGTAGACCCTTTATTTTTTTTAAATTTATTTAAATTCTTAATACTTATTAGTTGAATTAACATTTAGTATTCATTTAGAAAATTATTTTCCAAAAATGCATAGCATTATGCTTGAATCAATATATTTTATGTCTAGTATACTTCTATACCAAATGCATGTAGAAAGATACTTCTTTGTATATGGGGGAAGGGCTAACCAAAAGTACCAATTAAAGTGCTTGGAATCATATGTGAACTTTAGGACCATAATTTTCCTTCAGATATGCCCTTGAAACCTTAGTTGAAATGTGTAGAAACTTTTATTAAAACTTCCTAACATATTGAAAAAACTTTATTTTTTATTTATTTTCAGTCTTAAATAGCAATTCTTTTTTAAAATGTTATATTTGTGCATTTATAGAAAGTATTTATGTCATATTACATGCATTTACCTCTTCTGTTTTTAAACTTTTTTGTACCTATTGATGCAAACTTCAGTAATAAAAATATTTGTATATTTTGAATAACAATAATCTAATGTGCCTTATGCAGCACATACAACACTTTGTCATATACAATTTAAAATAATAAAATAAATCTAGTATCAATATTTTTAAGTTAATTATTTTGTTCAATTGTTTAATTTTTGAATTAATAATGATTTTAGCGGTACTAGGCTTTTATTAAATGGCGAAGAATCTGTGAACACCCAACATTTACGTGAATTCATGATAAATTCAGCAACATGTAATGAAAATTTAGCTCAAGAAGATATTCATCAAATTAGAATCTTTAATTTAAGTAACTTATTAAATTCAAAAATTGGAGCATTGTTAAATGGATATCAGAACTTACAAACAGAAAATATTGAACAATGCCTAATAAGCTTTACTGAATTATGTGAAAAAATATTAGTTAACACTTGTTCACTTTTATCAGATTCTCAATGTTTGTTCAATGATAAAATTATTGAATCATTAAATAATAAAATTAAATCAATATTGATTAATGGTTTATTGTTAAAAACTACTGAAAATGATTCAAATATATTCTCTCAAGATTCCCATAATACAGATAATTTAGTGGAACACGCAAAAAATAGATTACAACAAGAATGCAGTGTTTCATTAGAAAAAACGGACAAAAATATTGAAGACCAATATTTTTTAAAGAAGGTAAATATGAATTTGTAATTCAATTTATGTCCAAAATATTAATAAAAATATTGATGTTTTTTTGGATGATAAAAATTTAGTTATAGTATTATCATTGATTATTTGTATGTACTATTATATTTTATTTTGAATTTGATTGACTGTTAAACATGTTTAGGAATATAATGAATCCACTAGTAAAAATACTAATAAAGGTCCATTGAATTATAAAAATGAATTAGTGGAAACACAAACCAATCAACAAGAAACTAATTTAAATCACACATGTTCTATAAATTCAAATTATGTATCTCAAATTTCACTAAAAGATCTAAAACAATGTACAGTACAGTTGGTAAGACTTGATGAAAAAACTATAAAACACTGTATTGGCCAGTCATCTAAAGATAAGGTAACTATAAATGTATTTTTACAAAAAATGTAGTCAGATGAATATGGTCTAAAAATTACAGAAATATTATGATTCTTATTTTGATTTTTTTAGATAGATAGTAAAGCAGTCAACCATGAAAGAAACATAGAAGATTCTAGTAAAACAATTGATTTGCCTAATAATAGGATATGTTGGAGTCCTATACTAAAATTAAAAAAAATTGATATGGACATTAATTATTGTGCTAGTAATAAGGTAATTTATATGATTAGTGTATGAAGTAATTAAATAGAGAAAGTTAATTTTCGGAACATTGATATATAATTCATTGGTTGTAAATATTTTAGCCCAACAGTAAAGCAGTCAACAATAACATTGAGCATAACCCAGAAATATATACTGGGGACAAAATTAAATTGTCTTCCGAGGAAAAAATTCTTGAAATTGTTAATCCTAAAGAATGTATTGTATTAGAAACATTAAGTATAGGTATTACAGAAAATGTTGATCACAATAAACAGGTAATAATAATTTTATTTAAAAAAGTTTTTTTCAAGAACAATAGGTTTGATAATCACATTTCAGGGATTTACTTTTCGTAATAATTTTTTAACCACTTTCCTATTTTTATGTTTATTTTAGACAACCAAGAAAAAAACTGAAAATAAAACCAAAACCAAAATGAGGATCATAAAAAAAAAACGTCCCAAAAAACTAAATTACTCAAAACGAAAAAAAAAATAAAAGAACAAAATTCATAAGTATTAAAAATTAGCAGTTTTCGTTTTAAAAATAATAATGCTGTTATGAATCTCACTTCTACACACCTTATGGCTTCGAAGTAACTAACTAATGTAATTACAAGTTTTTTCTTATTAATTGTAAAACTATAGTTGGAAAATAAATACATTTTATTATTATTATTATTAGTGATGCCGAGTATGCATTAAGGTGGTGCATTTGAACCACCTAAAATTATGGGTGGGTGGGTCTTGGTTGGGTTAGTAATTAGTAAACATATTTAACCAAGATAGTTAATACTATTACTTACAATAGTAAGTATAAAGTAGGTACTAGGAGTTAGGACACCAGGTAGGTAGTAGGTACATAAGCAGTTACCAGTTACAAATACTTAGAATCTGATCCTAACACATTACCAGATGATGCGTTTAATACATTTTGTAATTTGTACAACAAATGTATTAATCATATAGATTTATAAAAAAGAATATATTGAGTTTTCAAAATTATTTTCTTACTTTGAATCTACTATGGTGGGTTCTCAATATATACATTCTAATTCTGAAACTAATGATGATAAAGAAAGCTCTTCAGATTTTGAAGACAGTGATGATCAAGAAGGAAAAAAAGATATCGCTTTGGTGAGAATTGAACCACCAATTTTTGTAAACTCGGCGCCACTGATTATAATTATTAAAACAATATTCCTATTGTAGTTGTCGCAAACCTTTTTGATCTATAAAATGTTGTAATCAAAGTTTTTAAGAATATATTGCATGTGAGTAATATATTAAATGGTACCTATAAAAATTTTTTTCTCTATTATTTTTGATTAAATGCAAGATTTAACAATCAGATAAAAATATTTTTGTGTACCAATAAATGGATTCCACACTACAGTATTTTGGAGAAAAATACACCTATATACATTCCAGTGTACTAACTTGAATTAACTTTGAATCTTTCTAGCCACATTTTTAATTTATTGAACTAAAAAAACAACAAATCTCGTATTTTTAGACATTTTAATGAAAAAAAAAACAGTTATAATTTTTTTGTAATTCTCAATTGAAGGATTCAAATAGACTTCATAATAAATAATAATAAAATGATTACCTGAGTACAACTCGAGTCAGTTTGATGGAATGCATATAGTTCTATTTTCATCCAGTAAACAGTAATGCGGAATTCTCTTAAAATGTAGAAAACGAGCGTTATAGCCCATATGTTTGCCTCTTTAGACCTTATGTTCAAATGAATGAGATTATTTATCATTATCAGTGTTTTTAAATTTAGAGGCATGTTGGACTGTTAAATTCATCATTTATCACCCAAAAAAATACTCATGTATAATCGACTTATTTTAATTTAAAGTTTCTGAACCAAATAGTAATGTATAATTTTATAAATTTTAAAACAAAGTTTTTTACTGTGAAAAATGTTTTTAAAGTTTTGGAACTATGGTTTATTAAATATTTTAGTGAATTTAAATACTTTGATCAATAGTACCTATAAATGTGCCAATTATGTTATGTTACCTATATTATGTTATATTATGCTTAGAACTTCCAATTATTTTTCATATATTATTATTTATTATGCATTTTTGACTAGAATTTAAAATATATTGATTATATTACATATTATAAATGTATTGTTTTCGGTTTTGGTTATTACGTCTCATGTAATTTATATATTATTTAATGATTTATGGAAAAAAAAATGTAAATATCATTGGTGTCATTTAAAATTATGATGCAGTTAACCAAAATGTACAAAATATTTTGATTTCTGAGTTTAGATGAAATATATTTATATTATGCTCAGATACTTTTTTTATTCTATACAACTATTACAACTTGCATTATAATTTTTGGATATAAACAGATGCATGTACATTACTTGTATTTTAAGTTTATAAATTAGACCATATCTGTTTATTAATAAATATATAACTATTTTATATAATTTCTAATTTATTATTAAATGTTGGCATTTTGAAATAGTCCAAACTCCAAATTACCTGTATAAGTGGGTATAGGAAGATACTTCCAGGGCCAAATTTATGCACTGACTACATAGCCACATAAGCAGCAGCCTTGGGGCACTCAGGGGTCACATGCTTTCCTTTTCAGAGGGATAACTCCACTCCCACCCTCTCAGACTCTTAGGTAGCGCCCCATTACACCCACACGAAAGGATGAGTCCAGTGGCTGTAGTTCGGGATATTTCATCCTTATATCGTGACAAAATGATCCTTCTTACTGGCCACTGTCTACACTTTATGAAACTCGAATTAATTTTCTTTCGAAACCGTAATGATTTAATTTCTTAATCCAAGTAATTGAGTATTTAAGATGCGCATTGATGGCGGTTGACCGGTGGGTTTGCCAAATGGTCATTTACTTTGGTCGGCAACTTTTGAAAGTGACAAACTGGTCTGCTATAATAGCACTTTAAAATTAAAGTTATCACAATTTATACCTAATTACAACACGGGCCGTGACTATAATAGACGCTCAGGAAATTCGCGTTTGAACGGGAAAAAGTTTTGCGCTGTGTCGGTGCGAGATGGCAGAAGGGGGAAATATCGGTGTTCGGCCGCGGTCGGATGCGATCGCCTCGGCGCTCAATCGAACACGGGTCAAGGGACGCGGCGGCGGCCGACGTCTACCGCCACCGAGCTCGTTTGCGCGGCCTGTTGTGACTTGTGAGCGCGTGGCCGTCGTCCGGACCGTTCGACTGTTGGTGCAGTACATGTGTGTATTATATAGTAACAGCGTTCGTATACATAGTTAGGCGCCATCGCGAAATAAGGGTTTATTTCTCAGATTTTCTAGTCATTTTTGTGGTAGAAGTGCCAACAGCGAGTGCAGTTGTCCGGACAGGACGATATTTTCGGAAGCGCCTAGACCTGCCTAGCAACACCCGTTGTACACACCCTCCTCAAACATTTTCCCGAATTTCCAGCCGGGAGCGATTTTCCAGTTCACTTCCGTCGTATTCGTATTTTCCAATTGACATGGCCACCACATCCTCGGCCTCGTGGACGACATCTTCAACTAGTCAAAGTGAGTGCTATAGCTATTCTTACATTTTCGATGCCTATCAACTATTGAAAAGGTATATTTTTTGTAGGTTTAGTGTTTATACACTATACCATATTGTAGGTGTAGTATTAAACTTTTATGTAGATAATATATTATAATTTACATAGTATTATAATTTAATACTTATTATTCTTATCGATAATAATTTTGTGTAGTAGGTTGTGACGTATGTATAAATACCTTATAAATCCACATGTGTACATAGGTATTACTTACTTATCACTATAAATGCAAAAGTAGTAGCAAGATTTTCAAGAAAGAATTTGGAGTGTATCGGTACGTATCGGGTCAATTTTGAACGTTCAAGATGTTACACGTGCAATATACAAGCGATACGTACCGACCCGTATCGGACCCGCGACTCTGATACGAGGTGGTACGTAACTATTTCGTACCGATACGTATCGAATTTTTCTTCTTGAAAATCTTGTAACTCTGTCTATCTCTTATGTTTTCACGTTGAACGATGTAATTTGGTATGGACATAGCTTGAATCTTAAAATATAACAGAGATATTTTTTTTAAAAATTCAATCCCAAATAAGGTGAAACTAAATAACTACTCCAACGTGATTGATAGTCAACTGTAATAATATAAATTTTACATTTGATAAGGGTGCTGACTTTATATTGTGTGCATCATTTAAATAAATTTTTTTTATAAATTCGATCTCCCAGGTGTGGTAAAGTTAGTATGGGAAATCATTTTGTTATGGTCAAATTTATTTGAAGCTTGGTATTTATGGTCTTTGACATATAAAATCTAACTTGTATTTTGGCTTTTTTCAAAATTCCAACCCTGAATGAGTGACAAAGTTTTAGTTTTTACTGATAATTTTGGCTACGAATATTTAAAGTTGTATTTATTTATAAGTAAGCCTTAATAAGTTAAGTTAGCAACGATGTTTTTTTTTATTTTAGTTTTGTTAAATTGAGTAGTTGTTTGACATACAGCTGTTTCTTTGTTTCTATAACCTGCTATTTTATCATTTTTTTGAAGAGTTTTTAAATAGTTTTCACGGTTAATTAATTTACGATATGCATCGCAAAACTATGTCTGATTTAGTATATACCTCAGAAATGTCTTGGACTCCAATAAATAGTCCAATGAGTTGAAGTAGAAGGAAGAAACAGTTGGTATGTGTTGCTCTGATGGTAAAATGTCCCTTCTATCACTAGGTGAATCGCTAAGGTGATCCAGAGAAACCTCTATAGAAACCCTAATTCAGTACGAATGTAATAAATCAAAGCGATTTTTAAATAAACTTGGAAAATTTAATTGTTTCATGGTTTTAGATGACTTGATTTGAATATAGAAGTCACAATGACAGATTTTTTAGATACTTTTAGGTTAGACTTCACCGGATAATTATTATCAGTATAAGTGACAACATATTTACTTCGTGGAGGTAGTTCTTCCAAAAGAAGGTATTACCAAAAACGCTGTTTATAGAGCTGTGTTGAGTTAGATCTTGTAATCATAATTACTAATTAATAAAACATAAAAAATGTTAAGTTTTAAATTGTTCCAAACTAAGGTTTGACATGTAGAAAAGCAATTGACACATATTCATTATGTACATTGTACCTGTGCTAGTATGCTACTTACATTTATACATACATTATACATATTTACATCACTTGGTATATAGTGTATATATAATATACCCACCCATAATATTTAATAAAGTATGTCTAGCTCACTCTAACTAGTAAACCATCACTTATAATAATAATCTACTGATATTTAGCGATATCTATGCGAGCGAAACCGCGAATCAGTGAAACATACCTAATATAATATTTACGACGCATAACAATTAAAATATCAATGAAAATAGTTACGAATTTCAATTTCAATGTTCTATATTAGTCATTGTTAATAGAAATTGCATTATTTAATTTCAATCCTTATAATTGTGGCAGGTACAATTATTTGGGTTCTTACACTGTCAATATATAATCATTTGTGTTTAGAAATTTAGAATTATATATTTATATATAATATTTAGTTTAGTTTTCATATTTGACTATTGACTGTTTCTTTTTGGTTTATACGCTGCATGCGTAATATACGCAGGTTCCTATGACATAAAACTTTTAAAAACAAGGTGTCAGTTAATAAATTGCTCAGATTCTATTGTGAATCCCTACTGAAAACAGGGGAAGGAAAATATATAATGCAATAACTCGTTTCGTTATTTGTTATACGGACTGATAACTTGGCTACTGCTCCGATTATTAAATGTATTATAATTTATAATATTATACTTTTCTTCTGTCTCGATTAATGTACTGCCACTGGTGGCATGTGTACATACACATAATGGTATTCTATTGAAATGACGTTTAAAGAGAACGCAAGATATAGTTTATTAAATTATCATAATTTTCGTTATGATTCTAATTTATGACTTGGCTCAATGAAATAAATTATTAAATAATAACGATACATTTGGCGCATCAAATCTTCCTAATGTAACCGCACTAATATTTAAAAAAATATTACAGATTAAAATTTTATAAGCACTCACACTTTCGTCATAGTCCTTGCGTAGTTCTTTTTGGGGGAGAGTTTTCAGTTAACATGGCGATAAAGACAAAAATCTCGTAAACGGCTCCCGTTATTAAATAGCTGCATGATATCTTATATTAATTACATGATGTACCTAACCGTCCTAACCACACCTTCCATTTGGTTGGCGAAGGTTTTCTCGTCAATTCAAAAGATTGGAAAGCTAAAATACACCTATTTGTAAACGAAACTCTTTATTGTAATATAACGTTTTAAAAAATAATACATTTTATTTTACTTTTATTCAGTAATTTTATCATCAGTAAAATACAATAATATGCCATATATCTGACTTCTTTACTTTCTAAAGAATAAAAGACACCAAGCTCAATGGCTTATTAAGAAATAAGAATTGTTTTATTTTACACGGGTAGGCGCCTATCATGAATTTAAAGAAAATAAATAGCAAATCATTTTTCTCATTAATAGCAAAACGAAGTAGAATATATTTTTAAATAGGTACCATGATTTTAAACATATACCTACGGTAAGTATTTAATTTAGATGAAATATGATAGTTGTCTTTCTTCAATTTTCCTTAAAGCTGTAGTTTAATTTGGTATGTAAGGTTTAGGTAGGTACTAATAAAAAATTTAATAATTATATGGTTCTGTAGTATTCTTGTAAAACACGTATCTATTCTCTGCAACATTATAGAATCTATCGGTTCATTTACTATTGGCCTCGATTTTTAGATTTCAGACGGTACCTACGGTTAAACCTACCTACCTATCGGTCATATTATTGTTTGAGATATTATAGTAGGTACACGACTTCACCTATAGGTTATTATTTGATGGTGATTACCTCGTGGAAATGATTTATGAATAACACAACTTGTATATTCATTAAGTTAAATTATCTATTATCATGTGTAAATTATAATGAACAGCAGTTACTATTACATTATACTATATTATAATACAATTTTATTCACATTTATTAATATTTAATCGTTTACAATATTTATTGCTTACCTATCAATATCTTTATATAGGTAATATCATAATTAGGTTTTTTTTGCGAAACACCTACATCACTTAAAAACAAATTTGTGCTCTTAATAACTTAACATTTATTTTTTTAGTACCTAGTACAGTATAATATTATAAAAATGCATACTTAATGTATAATATATTTTTCGAGTATAATTTACCAAAATAAATCATCTAAATAAATATAAAATCCAAATACTTACTTATGGCTATTTCTCTAAAAGTACTAAAGTATGAACTTGACATTTTGAATAGTGGTTCCTCTAATGCTCTAGAATTAAGATGCGCATTATGAAGGGATTTTTAAAAAATCCTTATTTTAAAGATGGGCTGACACAAGAATTTCATTCTATATAATGTATAAAAGTCATTCAAAGCTAACAATCTACCTTTTCAATTTTTATATTCTTCATGTATTACATATTTAAATATATTTTTTTCGCTTGAGTAATTTCTTAATGCATAGGTAGGTTAGGTTTGGATTATGTACCTATATAATAGTATACTTTTCCGAATCGTATTTACTCCTGTTGGAGAACGGTTATTGGTGCTGTTCTATTTATATTGACACACCAATTGAGTGTATTATTAATTAATTGGTTAATAGTTTAATACATTAATATGTTGACAGTCATAGAACTTAGCCTACTAATTTTGTTACCACTCTCTATATTTAATGTAGTGACGTAATAAGATTAGGAATAAATATTATCATTACCGCTATTATTCATCACCGACGTCATTTATGAAATTGTAAAAAATACGGTACACGGACTTTTATTTATAAAGATATTTCTTAAACATTGATCGGTATAATTTAAAGGAAAGAATATAAAGTATAAACTGTGTTCGGGACGTCGGAAATTAAAGTCCCGAAGACCCATCGGCCGGAAATGTGGGATTTTATGACCTTCGTAATTTCCGATTCGGAATTGCCGGATTAAATTTTGTTTGTCTTGCATCGTATGTATATAATATTTATTGATCTCATATAGACAATAGTATTTTAATTAAAACCAAAACCAAATTTAAGAAAGAAACAAACCACTAAACTTGGAACAATGACGTATCTATATGACGTTTGAAATTCCAATTCGATGTACAATATAGACATACTGATACCTACATATTATAACATGTTCGTACACGAAATTAAATCCATCGTACAGTATACATTATACATAGTACCTACACGAGATTCTATTATCCAGTAATATATTACTGTCGTGCACGAGCACAGCTGCACCGACCGCTATAATACAACTGTTGTTAATGTGCAATTTACATTTTATACTGCATTCTGGAGTGCACATGATTTTATTCATTTATCGTGCGTGTAACAATGTGGATCATTGTTTCTGCAAGATGACCGGATACCACGAGTACTGGATA